AAAAAATAAAATAAAACCAGTCACTACTGAAACAAATATTAAATTGAAGTTTAATATGCAGGTCATATAATGGTAGTAGCAAAGTGGCAAAGCAGGAAATTTATGTGGACAAATGATTTTTTTTTTAAATCTTCATGACAGCGTGAACAAGACTAGATACGCTGAATAACATTTTTAAGTCAACAGTTAATCTTCAGAAGCTGTACAAATAAAAGTAAAGGTTTGGGTTAAAGAATCACCACACTGAGCATTCCCCCCCTGTACACAGTTCCTGCTGAGTACCTGGGATATCTGGAGTGTCTCTGTAATTCACAATTTTCATTGGAGAAAAGCAGTGAGAAATTACATCATCTTTCCAGTATGCTAAGCTAGGAACTGTAATTGAGTAACCCTGATTTACAATCGGCCTCCTTTGGCTCCTAACAACTGGTTTTACCCCAAGTTCTGGATGTTCCACAACACTCCTCTCTCACTGCATCTCTTTGAGACCTGGAGACACTAAGACTGGTCAAATATCTGTATCTGTTGGTCAGTGCCATTCCAACGTATCTAAAAGCCACATTTTTCTGATTCTCAGTTCATTCTTCTCCCATGTCATATGTGTCAGTCATTCATCATGTCTGGCTCCCATGCAAACAGCTAGACCTCTTGTTTTGTGTATGCCTTTCCTGATGCAGTATTCAGTTTCTCCCTCCTTCAAGACAAATGTTATGCAGCAAAAGCCAAAAAACTCCCACATTACATGACATAAAATTATTAGAGATAACATGTAGCTATAAAATATATATGCTTACAGTTTTTAAATCTCTAAAACATTACAGAAATACAGCTATTACTCTCTCTCTGACAGCAATTTCTTTTTTATGTCTTAGTAAGGACACTAGATGCCAAGTACCGAATGTCATTTCTTCTGTGCTGTTTTTCTAAGTGCATTAGATGACTGAACATGATTTAATAGCCATCTTATTAGTGTCTGGGGTGGAGGCAGAATACAGTATTCTGGCAGTGTTGCAGAAAAAAACTACTGTTTTTTGTAACTTATTTCAGCTCCGATCATAACTTAGGGGAGAAACACATTTTGGATACTGCATAAAATAAACTAACATTTGTGCCCAGACAATGACTGGATCCAAAAAGAATATATGAATATAATGTAAGAATATAATCTTAATTATTTTAGTTAAATAAGCCTGCTCAAAGTTCTGGATGGATTGGACTCAACCACCTTCACAAATTAAGCCACCTCATTTAAAGTGACGTGAGATATTCCCATGAGATGGTGCAGATGTGGCATTATGCAGTATTGGTTAAGTATGCTTAACCAATATTAATTTTCATCTTGGCAAAGAAAGGTAATTAACAAATGAATGATCAAAAACTCCACGAAGCAAAACCCCAACAACATACATTGTGAGCACAGAAAGTAAATGACCTAACACTTTATACAATTTTGAGTGGTTCACTGTTCTTTTTTCTTGTAGTTAACAGAGATTAATGAAGCCAGAACCCACCAGTATCGGGCCAAACTTTGTCAATGACAACTTCAAGAACAACCTGTACAGAAGAAAATTTAGCAGACAAAAGGCAGCTGAATCACCACCTATTTTAAAATGAAAACACTTGCCGGAAGAACAGCAGTGAAAGGTGATCCTGTGATAGCAGATCCTAGTTCAGTGCTCCTTGTCTTCAGAACCCCTCGTCTACGATGCTTACTTTCTGTGCCTAGTGACAAGAAGAAGAAGCAGGTTATACTTATTCTGGTATATGCACAATAAATGCATTTACAAGCTGTGCAAAAATGTCACCACACCGTGTCTTAGTATCTTCTGGCTAACTTCTTCTCAGGCTGGGGGAAACAAGACATGAAAGGAACATTAGAAAACTCGTGGCTCTACAGAAACCCTTAGAATCTGTTAGGGGTAAAAGATATCTTTTAATAGCATTTATCTGAAGATCAATTTCAAAGAATCCCTACTGATAGCAGTAGAGGTTAAAACAAACAAATAAAAAGCAACAATTTAAGGTACTCGTATGAAGAAATCAATTCTGGAAAAATCACAGGCTGAAATACTATCACTTCTCATGCTTAATATTCTCATCCAGTTAGTCCTCCTCTGTTACTCCTTTATCTAAATTCAGATTGTGAGTCACGTGACTCTGGCAAATTTGCTACCTGCAGACACCTTAACAACTTGTGCATGTGAATATCTGAAGAATAAAGATTGATAATATTTGCAATAAAAATAAGACATATGTTATTAGTATAACCGTATGCTGCTAATTGCTTAAGCCTCCTTAGGATCTTTTGAAGATCTTTAAGTTATCTAATCAAAAATTTAGCATATGCATTTGTTTTTCCTAAAAATGATTATTTGTATATTTGAAGTTGTTTTAGTAACAAGTAAACATATTAATGCTTTCTTGATACTAAGTAAAATAACTTATCTGCAGCCAGCCACCTTATTTATTTATTTATTTTGTCCAGGATTTGTTGCTTTATCACTTTTCCAGGTTTCAAGGTGAGGCTGACAGGCTTGGCGTTCCCCGAGTCCTCTTTCTTGACCTTCTTGGAAACAGGAGTGGCATTTGTTTTCCTCCAGGCTTCAGGCACCTCTCTGGATGTTTACAGGTAAGCAAGAGTGGCCTCTCAAGGACATCAGCCAGCTTCCTCAGCACTTGTGGGTACATCCCATCAGGGCCCGCGGACTTAATACATCCAGTTTGCTTAAGTATTCCCTGGCCTGGTGGAAGAGGGTGAGGATACAGAGCACTCAAGCACTGGACATAGGTGGGATCATGGGCCCTGATGGGATGGATGTACCCACAAACACTGAGGGGCTGGCTGATGTCTTTGAGAGGCCACGCTCAATAATCTTTGAACTAACTATTTAATCTATTCACACCGTTAACATTTTCTGGAAAAGAGATACCATACTATATACTATACTATAGAGTAATATTCATTTTAATTCCAGGAGAAATGGTTGTAATCACATCACTATGAATCAACATTAGGAAATGTGTTAAGGGATTTGAGCAGCGCTATGCCTGGCCCTGTAGATATATTTATAAACACATACGTATGTATTTATTTAAGTGTAAGTATTTATTTATAAAGCTGAAAATTTCAGGTTGCAGTCCCTACACTGGCACATTCAGAACAGCGTGTTCCCGCTCAGCATATGTGAACACCTGCTATACCTTTAAACACTCTACTTAATTAGTTTCACACCTTGTTCTTCGATTTTTCTCCATAGAAAGTCACTATGAAGTACTTACCATTATTTTCTCCCTTACCTTTTTTGATAGCAATGAGAGGCGGAGAGAGATCGGTGCCAGCTTTGGAAGAAAGTTGCATTCCTCCGAGTTGCTCCGACCCCTGCTGTGAGGAGCAATCGGGAGAGGACCAAGGCTGGGCTCTCCCCCCTAGCTCAGTCTCCTCTCCCCCAGCCTCCTCCATCTCCTCCACCACCCCAAAATTGACTTAAATCGACACAAAATGACCGTGCAAGGGGATGTTGCACCAACCAACCACCCTCGCGGGCAGTACTGTTAGCCCTGTTCTAGCATCGGTGACAGATTAGCCAGGAAAGCAAAACAAAGCAAAGCAAAGCAAAGCAAAACAAAGTAAAACAAAGCAAAACAAGAAATAAAAAGAAGACGGCCGAGGACCGCTCTTGATCCCCAGAGGGATTTCAAGCCGGCGCTGCGGGCGGATGCCATGGCAACCTCTACACAAACCCAGAGGCTCCTCGCTCGTCCCCGTCCCCCCCTGCAGCCGCCAGCGAGCTGCTCGTTTCTTATCCCATTTCTCCGCTGTTTACAGAAAAATGCTCCTTAGTTTTACTACAGAAATCACGGAAAGCCCCAGGCACGGAGCACGGCGCTGGAAGAAGGGGGGGGGGGGGGGGGTGTTAGTGATGAAAAGCGACTGGGGGCTTTCCCAAACAGTGTTTTTATTTATTTATTTGTTTATTTATTTATGTGCTTAGTGTTTGTGACTGACTTCGGTGACAGCTTATGACTGATTTACCCACAGCAGCCTCAAACCCCATCCGCTGCGCCACAAGGGGCCGCGCATGCGCGCCTCTCGCCCCCCAGCGACAGGTGGCGGCGGCGCAGCGCGCACGCGCCTCGCTCCCCACCGCCTCCCCCCCTCACCCCCCTCGCCACGCCTGCGCGGCCGGCGTCGCAGCATGCGCAGCTGCGCGCCTGTCAGCGCGGCCCCAGGGGCGGGGGCGGGCTGCGGAGGGGGAAGCCTGGCGGAGGCCGGTAACGGCTGCGGGGGGACGGTTGGGGGCGGCTGAGGGGAGCTGAGGGGTGTTTGGGGTCTGTTTGGGGTCTGTGCGTGAGGGGTGCTTGGGGAGTGCTTGGAGGGTCCTTGGGGGGTGTTTGGGGTCCTGTAGGGTGCTTGGGGTGTGGGTTTAGGGGGGGCTCGGAGGAGTGTTTGGGGGGTTTTGGGGTGGGATTGGGGGGATTTAGGGGTGTGTGGAGGGTGGTTGGGGTCTGTGCACAGGGGGATGCTTGGAGGGGTGTTTGGGGGGGATATGTTTTGGAGGGGGGTGCTTAGGGAGGGTGTTTGGGGGTGGTTGGGTGCTCTGAGGAATGGTTGGGGGTGTTTTGGGGTGGGTTTGGGGGGATTTAGGGGGTGTTTGGAGGTGTTGAGGTCTGGGGGGGTGCTTGGGGGGTGTTTAGGGTGTTGATTGAGGGGTGCTTGGAGGAGTGCTTGGGGGGTATTTAAGGGGAGGGGTTTGGGGCAATGTGGGGGGGGGCTTGGTGTGTGCTTTTGGGGTGTTTTTGGGGGCCTGCTGGGGGTCTGTGCATGGGGGATGCTTGAGGGGGTGTTTAGAGTGGTGAATTTGGGGGTTTGTGCATGGGGGACTTGGGGCATGCTTGGGGCCTGTGCATAGGGGGCGCTTGGGGGGGTGTTTAGGGATTGCTCAGGTGCTTGGAGGAGTGTTTGGGGGCATTAGGGGGGTGTTTGGAGGTTGTTTGAGGTCTGGGCGTAGGGGGTGCTTGGAGGGGCGTTTACAAGTTGATTATGAGGTTCTTGGATGAGTATGTGGAGTGTGCTTGGGGTGTATATGTGGGGGGCTTGGGGTGTGCTTGCTGCTGAAGCCTGTCCGAGACAGCGCTGGGCTTTCTTTTGCTCGCTCGCTGCGGTGTTTCGCTGTGAAAGCACACCTGGTTTGGGGTAACCGCCCCTGTGCGAAGCTGGCGTGGTTCCTCGAAGTCTGCCCTTCCTGTGGGCACGGTTGGTGGCTGGGCGGCAGCCTGTCCGCCTCAGCGAGGTGCTACAAAATCTCGTGGGAGGTTTTGGGGTGCTATCATTTTCCGTGTGAGGGCTGCTTGGTGTGCCTGGGCAGTGGCTGCGTGTGATAAACCTGCCATAACTCTGTTCAGTATATCCAGAGTCGTTAATAATGTAATTCACCATGAAGATGTCTCCTTCAGTGTCATTTTCTGTAGTAACTTTACAAAAAAAGTTTTAAAAAACTGCAGCAACATCTTTTAGAATAACTGTCTTTTTAATTATTGATAAAGTCACGATAGCATGGAAATTAAAGGAATTAATAATCCATTAAGGGATTAATGTGGAAAGAATAATGAAAGAATAATCTCTGTGGTCAGAACTCCAGAACCTGGAAGTGTTCTGTTTGATTCCAAGACTCCAGACGTAACATCTTCCTTCCCATTGAGAAGGAATTGGGAATTCCAGACACATTCCTTGGAGTTCTGTGGATGTCATGTTCTTGCATCTGTGCTGATTGGCATCCTTTTTGCCTTGCAGTAGCATCTTGAGTGAACATATCTGGTTTAATAGCCAGCAAATTGTACCTTTTCAGCTTAAAGGCCGATAGTGGTTTGCATGCATGGCTTGACTTCACTAGAAATTCTACTGCAGGCATATGTGAAATACTTAAGTAATTTTTCCCTGTACCTCAGATAGACAGATACTGTGAGAAGAAATGAAAATAGTAGAAAACAGAGTAGCAGGGGGAAATCTTCCATCAGAAGTCTAAATGAAAGTGTTTCATAATCAAGTCTTCAGGTTTAGAGCCTCCACAGCTAGGTTTCTCTCCACAATTGGTACTGACTCTGAGCTATTGCAGGGGGACTATAGTTTTCTAAGCTCCCCCAGAACTAGAACTCGGTGGAGTTAGGATGTGATCCTTGTATCATGCTTCTGTCAAGTTGCACTGTTTATAGCTGAAGTTTTTTCTCTGGTTAAGTTTGTAATGATGCAGAGCCATCCAATGAAAGCATAAGTTCTAAAAATGCTACTTCTCTTTCCAGTGCTGTTAAATTATGAAGGCATTTTGAGGTCCTAATCAGCAATGGAGGAAACGGATAGGGAAGCAGTTGCGACAGCTGTTCAGAGAGTAGCAGGAATGCTTCAGCGTCCTGATCAGCTGGACAAAGTGGAGCAGTATCGCAGGAGGGAAGCTCGTAAGAAGGCTTCAGTAGAAGCTCGGCTCAAGGTATGAAGTTTGATAAATCTCAGGGTCCGCCGTGCAGAAACTGTTCCTTTTTTTTTCCCTTTACATTTTCATCCAGATAGTTTAAATCATGGACTTCAATTTTTACTCTGTGTGCAAAACAAAACAAAATCTTTGCATCCTAAAACTGCTTGCATTAGCAAGCATTTCAAATGTTCTTATGACCTATAACTTGTATGGGTTAGCCACATCCAAGTCACCTTCTGCTGTAGCCTATCAGCCAATAAACCTTTGTTGTAATGATTGAATATTGAACTTGTAATAAAACCTAAGGGTTGCCTCTGAAACAAGATCAGTGCTAAAAATAACGTTTAGTCTCTGACTTTTATTTGGGTTTATGGCAGATTGCTAAATCTTGTAGATAGTGTGTGGTGATGTGAATGAAAGAGAAAAGGCAGAGTCCTTTCTGAAGGTCAGGGGGAAAAAATCAGAACTTCTTGAATGTTTCTGTCTACAGCGCAGTACTGAAAATAGCTTGTGTTCCTTCTTGGCATAATAGCAATACCTACATTTACAGTAAAGAAAGAACAAACATGAAGTTCAATATAAGCAGTTAAATTCAGGATGCCAGCAGGCTTTCTAGATGAAAAACAGGTTAGAAAATAATTCTAATTTATTCACCTAAGGATTAAAAAAAAAAAAAAAACCTCTTTGAAAGGAGCATGAGAGGCATTGAAGGCTTTCAGACTCTTCAAGCAAAGAGTGTATTCCAGTGAACAAGGGAGGGGGCAGGTAGACATCTTAAGACTTCGGTTTAAGTGAAAGTTTCTTGGTTCATTGTGTGTTAATGGGTCACTTAGGATATTCACCTTCTTGTCTCTAGTGGACCCTGTGATTTCACCACTTCACACATGTACATGTGAGCACATATGTGCTCAGCGGTCATTTTTGACCACTGTATTCAATGACTGGAGTAGAGCCAAAGAAAAGGTGCTTTGGGAATATTTTTATTTTTTACCAGATCAAACTGGCTGGTATAGGTTGCATCTAGTGTTATATTTCAACATAAGTTAGTGTATCTTAAAACAACTTTGTTTCCTTCTTTGTGCAAGTCTACAGGGTGTAGAAGAGAAACTGTTGTCTTTCACAAGAAAAAAACAGCAAATTACAAGTGAATTTTTATTTGGTTTTATTATAGAAATATTCCTGATGACTTGGATTTTTCAGATTTAAGGCAGGAGGCATATAGTGGAGTCCATTAATAGTGGATCAATGGTTCAGTTACTGTCTATTTATAACACATAAGCACAGTCATCCCAGTAGATGACTGAATATAACTTTGAGTTCTGTAAATGCCTCAATCCACTTTGTAGTCAGAAAGTTTCCTTGTAACTTTCCTTATATTGATTTAACTTCAGTCATCTACAGATGGTCAAAAATGCCCGTTCCAAGTCTATGGAGGAAGCACTTCTCAAACAGGTGATGGCTGTGATGCAATAGATAGTAAAGCAGTTTTTCCCCATCAGAATTACTGTAATGGATGGAAATAAGGGGAGGGTGTAAAAAGTACTCTCATTCTGCATTAAATTTTGTGTGTATGTACTGTGGAAGATGAAGAGACACCGTCATCAGGAGAGTAGAAAGCCAGGGTAATAGCTGTCCCTCTCTTCTAGAGGTGAAGGAGCTGAGGTCTGGAATGGTGTTCAGCACAAAAAGGCAGCATCTCCTCCAGTTGATTATCCTACTCCTGTCTTTCACAGTTATTTACTTGTATGCGTTTTTAGATCCCCTTTCTGTGTTTTTTTCTGGCTTTGAAATTTGTACGACTCATCTGCTTTGTGTGTGAGGCTGATGTTGGTTAGTGAAGCAGTATTTTGAAATATTGATAGCAGAACTCTGACATGACGGATGGCTGAGGACCAGATAGCACTGAGGGCTGGTCCTTCTGTGCTTTGCAGTCCAAATGTAAGCAAAGAGCTGCCTGGCCTCTCTTTCAGACCGTGAGAGGTTAGGAGTGTTGACAGACAACTTTGTTTTCACACTTGTTCAGTAAATGGGAGAGCTTAAGTTTTGGGGAGGTTAAGTATTTCTCACCCTGAAGAAATAGTGGATATGTGTGCTAGGAGAGTTCTCAAGTCATGAGTTTTCCCAAGTATAAACATGCTTTTTGGTTCATAGCTGCTGTGCAATTATGAATTTGAACCACAGACCTCCAAGGAGACCAGGCAGCCAGGGTACCAGTTCTGTAAAAAAGTGCTCAGTCCAATAGAAGGTGAATGTGCGTTCTAGGAGGTAAAGTTTATATCCCTCACTCCCCATCATCCCCAAATTATTATTAAGAGACAAACGGGACACCTGAGTGGATGTCTGTTGTTAGAGATTACTTTGGCTGCTAGAGTTAGTGTCCAAGATCAGTGTTGATTTCTGTTTAACATAATCAACTTTCTGCAAAAGTTAAATAGTTAAGAATTTGAACACTTGAAAGATTTGCTTCAGAATAAATTGAAAATTTGAGTCAGAAGTACTGAATGTTTAATGGTCATGTATTTTTTAAGATATGGACAGCCTCAGGAGATTGTGTCGTTGTCCCTTGTCTGAATACCAAATTGTATTTCAGTAACCTAATTATCTCAGTTACTGTAGGGGAAATAATTGTTAATGCAGCAGTTCTCTAGACAGATAAAATAAAGATACCTCACCACGTCTAAATCGTTCTAAGTTTGACAGAAAATAACATTTTTATCAGTAAAATCTGGATGTTATATTTTGAAATAGTGGCTTAAGAATCACTGCATTTTTCTGGTTCTTTCTGAGTACATTTAAAACACAATAAATGTTGCTCATAGTTACCAGGATTTCCTCTTTGGCTTCTACTATCAGACAAAAAATCCCATGACTGCTCAGGCTTTTTGACCTTAGTAGTATGGCAAAAAATAGGTCCAAAGCTTAGCTAAACTGCCCCTGACTTGTTTCTTTTACAAAGTTTCTTCAGGTTCTTGAGATCAGCAACTGAGCGTTCACCAATGTCTGCCTTTTGGCTTGTCTTTGAAGTCTGTTATTTCCAGTTTCATTTTCTATTTGCCTAATCTCATTTTAGTTGCATGTTTTCGAAAATAAGTTGTGATCTGATCTCTTTTGCACAGATATGCTTTATAATGCACCTTCTGTAACATGTCAGCACTGCGAAATGACATTCCGGACTAACAGCCCATTTGAAGAGTCATTGTTTCAAGCGCTACCTGTCACAAGAGATACCTGTGTCAAAAAGCTCACTTTATGCCATAGTAATCAAGTAGTTGGCTTGTCAGTCTGTTTGTTTTACACTGACAAAGCTTAATTCAGCTTGGTAGGGGTTTGGGGGTTTTTGTTTGTTTTGGCTGAATTATTTCTAATTTTTCTGTGGTTCTGTCACCACAGGCAGGAAGGGTTTTTTGGACACCTTTTTAGTGAAGAATAATTTTTTTTAGAACCTTTTCAGTTGTAGGTCAGAAATCATAATTGCTTTAATAAAATGCTTTGTGATTCTGTGCGTGCAAAACATCCTGGAGAAAACTCTGCATCAGCTTTCTTCTGATATCCCCCTTTGAAATGAACTCATAAGGGAAACACAAAGAAATCTCATTCTCCCTTACCATGTTTCTGATTTAAGATAGGTCATCATCTTTGTAAGTCTATCTTCCTAAGTTCCTAAGCTCCTGTAGCAGTTTTATAGGTAAAGCAGTTGTATCTAGCTCCTTCAAAACTTTTTTTTTTTTAAAAAAGCATGTGTGCAGTCTTTCACATGTTTCTAATAAGCTGTAATACTACCTTTTTTTTTTTTCAGTAGATTTTCTGAGAAATGTTGAAAATGCATAACCTATAATATGTAGTGATTAATGTTTTGTCTTTTTGTTTGCATTTAAGGCAGCAATCCAGTCGCAATTAGATGGAGTCCGAACAGGTTTAAGTCAACTGCACAATGCACTGAATGACGTAAAGGACATTCAGCAGTCTTTGATAGATGTCAATAAAGACTGGAGACAGAGCATCAACACCATCGAAAACCTCAAGGATGTTAAGGATGCTGTAGTGCAACATAGCCAACTGGCAGCTGCTGTAGAGAATCTCAAAAACATCTTTTCAGGTAATCTAATGTTCTTAATATAATCTATCACATGATGAAAGCATTTCAAAGTGGTACTAACAGCTGTAGGGTCAGCAAATAGTGTGAGAAACTTTAAATCTCATTGGGAATGAAGAATTGAGGGAGCATCACCTAGATACGTTCAGAAAAGTTACCTTTAACCATTTAATATATCAAGTCTAAATTGCTCTGTAAGAACTTCCAGTCTGGCTTCTAATCATCAAACAGAAGTCACAAAGAAGATTCTTGCTAACAATCAGTAGCAGAAATAACATCTTTACTGTAAAAGACTGAACTATGTAAGCGGCATGTACAGAAAGAAAATTCAGAAAGAAGTGAAATGTTGCCAGTGTGCTGGGTACCCACAGCAAGACTGTTAAGTAAAAATAGTCCCAAATGATTTTAGGAAGTGAATAATTTTGCAAGCAACTGCAGAATGTCAAGCTGCAAGATCTTCAGCCAGAAGATTCCCTAGCAGTCTTGCTTACGCGACATTTAAAAACCTCAGGGATTCTCCAGTAATGTTACAAGCCTGCGTATGAGCCACCTGAAGTTCAGGTCCAGCTGTGTACAGACCTTACTTCAGAATTAGGCAGTACAGTCACAGAAGCCGCATCATATGTAAAGAAACTCTATGTGGAAAGCACATTCATGGCGACACTGCACAACTAGCAGAGTTTGCAAAATTGAATAAGGTTAACATGATATAATGGATACTATAAAGATAAATTAAAAAAAAGTGGGATTAGCTCTTTTGTTCCATGCAGGCTTTTTGGTGCATGTTCTATCCCATCATGAATTGGGGTGAATTCCTTGCCAGAGCTATTCTGCTTGCAAGTCATTTTAAGAATTTTACCACTGTAATGGGGGGGGCAGGGGGAAGTAAATCAATTATACCCCTTCCATTTTATAGAAAAGATTTGGGTTTTTTTCTATCCCTTTTCCCCTGATAGCAATTTTTCAAAATGCACCTGTAAAGAACTGTTGTTTCCCACTTGTACCAGGATGGTTTGTTTAATCTCTGTACAAAGCTTGTCTAACTGCTACACTACAAAACTGGGATACAGGATGTAACTGAAAGAAAAAGAGTTCTGTTTCTACTTACACGTAACATCTAGCAAAGAACAAATTTTTGTATGCTCCAATACTAATTTTTGAAGGCAGTATTGTTTTATTTTACACTGGTGAGTGTAACTGAGACAACAAGCCTTTTCTTTTCTGGTATCCTGAGAGGATTTGAGTGTGAATCGTTTCCCTCAAGATTGTTACACAGTATAGTTGGTGATAACTTTGCCCTGAGTAAAACAGATGGATTTTATTATAAATTATTTTTCACCATAATTAATGATTGCTTGTAACTCTTTTAGTGAACCTTGTTTTTTTTTCGATTATCAGTTTTTTAGCACTAATCAGTTATACTCTTGTTGTTATACTCTTCTTATCTTCTTTTGCATTTGCTTCAGTTCCAGAGATAGTGAGGGAGACCCAAGATCTGATTGAGCGAGGGGAACTTCTGCAAGCTCATCGGAAACTGATGGATTTGGAGTGTTCTCGTGATAACCTGATGTACGAGCAGTATCGCATGGACAGCAAAAACACGCATGACATGAACCTCATCCACACGTACTTTGGGGATATGCAGAAACTTTCCGAGGAGCTGGCCAAGCAGCTTTGGATGGTGGTTCAGAGGTCTCTCGTCACTGTCCGTCGAGATCCAACCTTGCTGGTTTCTGTTGTTAGGATAATTGAAAGGGAGGAGAAAATTGACAGGCGTATGCTAGACCGGAAAAAACAAACTGGGTTTATACCTCCTGGCAGACCAAAGAAGTGGAAAGAAAAAATGTTCAACATTTTGGAAAGAACTGTGAGCACGCGAATTGAAGGCACACAGGCAGATACTAGAGAATCTGACAAAATGTGGCTCGTGCGCCATCTGGAAATCATACGTAAATACGTCCTTGATGACCTGCTAGTGGCTAAAACCCTACTGGATCAGTGTTTTCCCCCACATTATGACATTTTCAAAAGATTGCTAAACATGTACCATCAGGCTTTGTCTACCCGCATGCAAGAGCTTGCTGCAGAGGATCTGGAAGCAAATGAGATTGTTAGCCTTCTGACTTGGGTTTTAAATACTTACAAAAGGTAAGGTCCCATTTATCTTAACCCGTTAGCAAAAGTTGAGAGTGAGCATACAAAATACAGGCTGCATACTAATAATTGTATGTCTATTAATGGAATAAAAGATAAGAAGATAAAACCATTTAGGGGGAAAAAAAAGAGAAATAATAGTAAGCAGCTTGATATGTTGATATTTGCTGATACTTTTTGCTTTCAGGAAATTGCATCTTCAAACTTATTTGGATTTTCTAATACATGGTCTTGAGTTCCTTCGTTAGCTCGAGGTTTTAATGCAGTTCCAGACCTACTTGAAGCTAGTGACAGCCTAAAAAAGTGTGTGTGCACCAATTTGTTGAGGTATTGGGAAGAACAGAAGAGTCTAGGAGCTCCTGAACGTGAAGCAAAGCATTTTTTGCTGGCCACAGCCCCAGTGAAGTGGTGTGGTTATTAACTTTCTATTGTTCTCCTTTGCAGAGGTTGGGACTGTTTAAGTGTTGCTTCATGACTGTTAAATGGAAAGAATGTAGTAACTTCCTCTGGGTTTTACCTGGGAACCATGAGCCAGTTTGTTTACTTAAAAGAGTTTCTGCCTGTAGATTGTCTCTGGTGATACTGTTACACTCTTGTTTTGAGTGGTGTGATTTGTTGGGGTAACTTAAGCACTTGGTTCCTTTTATCCTTTTCCAGGTGGAAACAGCTCAAAGGGCAACTGTTTAATTTTTGCTGACACAAAGTTACTAGGCAACTAGGGCAACTGATTTATTTGGGGAAAAAGTAATGCTAGCTTTTCTGTGCTTCTTAACTGTAATCCTGCCCTTAATAGTTGGCGTTGACCCAGAGGCTGCAGCGTGTGTGTTTTTGCTGTCTTCAGTTGTTCCATCTCCCTATTTCAACAGATGGAACAAGATAAAGGAGCTAAGTCCATTGGCCTTTGGTCAGAGGAGTAACTCAACGATGAATGAAAAATCAGAAATATTGGACTTCCTCCCCCTATGGGGGCATGGTCTGGGCAGAAATCCTGCTCCCAGGTTCTTCATTTATGGCCTGGGCTGACTGGTTTTGGTCTTAAAGTTACCCTTCTGCCCTTTCCCCAGAAAGTAGGGCAAATAAGTTCGAATTGTCTAACTTAATAGCAGTAACTCCTGTGTTCTTCAGTAGGAAGGACAAAGAGGTGTAGTTTTTTACCAAGCAAATAAATCAAAAAGGGAGCATTCAAGTGATGTGGCTCATAGCTCCTGATGGCAGAATCTGGGAAAGGAAGTAAAATAGAGGAGTGGGTATGGTACAAGGTATTTGAGGATGCCTTCTTGCCTAACATGTGTGATGGAAACTAAAGGAGATGCCTCAGGAAAAAATCAAGGGTTTGAGTTCTGCTGTTTTCTAATAGAAAAGCCCAAGAGGAGAGGGCAGCACAGTAATTGTGTTCCTTTAGAGTACAAGGGATTATTATCAAGATGGTAACAATTAGCTCTCTTGTATGTCTGTAGTGGGTGGTGGAATCAGCTCAGGCCTGTGAGTGGGAAAGCTGAAGTACTGGAGCAGGACAGTTGCAGAGCTTACCACATCTCAGTTACTGGACACCTCTTAACAGTGCATTAAACAATTCTCTCTAAGGATATGAGTATAATAAACTGTGTAGGAGAATGACCCATATGACTTCATGAAAACTCCTGTTTAACCTTCTTTCTCCCTGCATGACAAATAGAAAATCCCTGTTCCATTCCTTGTCATCTTCTGTGGAACGTTGTATGGGGAGAGAATAGTTTTTGTTGTTCCAAATCTTTCTCTATTTTTAGTAAATGTAGTTGAACACTAGAGGGGACATACAAACCTGTATGTTACAACTGCATCTCAAAGCCGGCTGAGAAAATACTGCTCAATAAAGAGAAGCATTCAGGGTTTCTTCCATGTAATGAATTCACAAGAATACTATTCATAAACTTCTGTTTACAATTTTTGTAAGGCAGGGATTTAAATAATCATGCTCTACTTTACCAGAGCATGTCTCAGAAGCTGTTTTTAGAACCATATTCTATTTGTAGCTAAGAAATAGGTGATCCTCCACGTGGAATAATAACCACTAATATTTGAGTGGGATGCAGTTTTATTGTGTTAGATGCGTTTGTCTCATGTTTAAGTCAGTGAAAGCCTTGGAAAAAAATACTCCAGTTACTAAATCTACACAGGGCTGGCATCAGGACTCTGTGTTTTGGGAAAAATCTAAGTTGTGTAAGATCCTGATGCCTGTATTCATAACGTGTTTGTTATTAGGTGCTAATCAAGCTCGCTGTTCCTGTGGCCTTGTGAAGTAGGGATGATGATAGCACAATGAGGTTGGAAACACTTTCTCAGATTGCATAATGCCATAACCAGCTTCTCACTTTTCCCCCAAATGACCCGGGAGCAGGTTCCGCTATTACTTGTGGTCCTTCTGTGAAGAGCAGCAGAATAGAGTTGAGGTTTCTGAGCAGCTTGAGCCTCTTTAATGCCTTCAGACTCTTTTCCAACAGCATCAGGGTGATACTACAAATATAAAGTGTGCAGTTGCACGAGCTTCTATGGTTTCAAAGGCAATGGTATTTTTTTGTTTTGTTTTTAGTGGTTAGCTGTAGTAGGATTTTAGGGCTTCAGTGTTCTGCACGATGTGGAAGCACCACTGTGCTGACTCACTGCATATCCCCAGAGAACAATTTGAATTTGCCAACGAAACACTTCAGAGGGGAAAAAACTTTTTTTTTTTTTTAAATCACTGTTCTTTATAGTTGCTACTGCAAATGTAAACTTTCTGGCTTCCTTCTGAAAAGCACACCAGAAGTGGAATGTGAGAAAGCATTACTACTGAATATATTTACACCAGTTGTTGATAGATCACTGAGTGTGGTTTTGCTTTGTTTTTCTTTTTTTTGAGCTCGAAATATTGAGGGTTCTTGCTATTTTATGCTTTGGCATAACTTTGATTTTAGTTATGCAAGCAACTCATTATACAATCTTATAATGTCCAGATGAAAACTATCACTGTGTGTTATTTTTATATAACCCTTGTTGAAATATTCCTGAGGGTTGCTCCAGTCTCTCTCTAATCCTATAAAATCAAGAATTCTCCTTTGCAAGTACAGCTAATAGTTCTGTTACAATACTGTGCCAATGATGTGCACTTTTTATTTACTGTGTAAGATGTTTCCTCCTCTTAATGTTAGGTATATCCTCTACTGATGCAAGAAGCATTGGTAGATTTTATTTGAATTCATTTTAGTTTTGATATGGATGCAAGTAGCACAACAGAAAGTCTTTTGAGGAACTTTGCTCAGTTTTTCATACTTCGAACTGATCTTTCCCATGCCAAAATAGAGAATGTATAAGTTGTCTGTCATCACCTCTGAAAATTCAGATATTCACTATTAGGAACCCACAGATTGAACAAGCTGGCTTTTACTCAGTCTGAAGCAATCACTTCTACATAAAAGTAAGTTAACAATACATGAAAGGGTTAAATATTTAAAATTTCTGTAATGCTTTTTTTACTTCATATATGCTGGGCAAAAGCTTTTTTTTTGTATCCTATTTTTTTCTCTTATGTAGTTTTATTTACATTCCTTGTAAACATACTTACTGGCATTATTAAGAAATGTATAGATATTGAAAAATTGTCCCTTACAGTGACCATACCAAAAAAGCTATATAGTTTTTAATTTCGTCTCACATTTTTTTTACTGATCTGCAATGTTGTGGTGTTCTTGTGTTTTCTTTTAATCTCAGTACAGAGATGATGGGAAATTCAGAACTGTCTCCTGAAGTGGACGTAAATTCTCTGAATCTTTTGATTTCACAAGATGTGGTAGATCAGCTTCTCAGCAAGTACATGTCAACGCTTACTGTAAGTAATAATAATTCAAAGGTACCTTCATACGGATGGACAGCTGTGCAAGTGCCTCTGTGCTTAATGAGCTCTTCTTGCATTAGAGAAAACTAGTGTGGCAAATGTGAACTTGGTATCATTCCTTTTATAAATCTTCATGTGTGAAGTACTGGTTTGTTTATAACGATGTTTTGTTATGATGACTTTTATGGATGTAGATCATGACATTTCAAAGAATAATTATGCTTCACAGGTCATATTAGCCATATTTAACATGTTAGTGTTAGGTCAGAGGTTGGACTCGATGATCTGGAAGTCTCTTCCAACCTAGGCAATTCTGCGATTCTGTGATATTTTATTAGAAAGAAAGAAATTCAAGTGTTTATACATAGACATGAATTCACAGTGCTAGAAGTTAAGCTATTACTATATGTAGAATGCTGCTTGGTCCCTGTAGTAGCTATGCCAACATTTGACAGTGATGTGGTCAAGATTTTCATGGGGTGTGTTTGCCAGCCTTTTTCCTTTCACGCCTGTCACCAGCACAAGCATAGTTGCCTTTTGTGGATGCCATTTAAAGTGCATCTTAAACATCCAGGCTTAGCATCTTGCTCGGGATGGGTGATACTGCACGTTGCTTGACAAACAAGTCACTGGAAATTGGTCAGCTACATGGCAAAGGGATTGGTACGTGACTCTCAGGCTTTTAGATGTATATTTCTTTAATGATTTAGTGCTGATTGCCTCTGAGACTGGATGTTGGGGTAGGTGGAACTTTGGACTGGCTTGTATTCTTGTATTGTTCAATGGAATTCCTCCGAAGCCTCGGAGCTCTGCCAAGAGGAGGGAGGTTTGCAGCTACTCGAATGTGTTAGCTACTAAAACACTTGTAGCAACAGCAAACATGTGGACTTGATACCCATCACATCTTGTTACCTGCTACCGTGCTGCTCTGTCGCTATGGCTGTTGTTCCAAATACTGAAATGTTTTGTTTTGATTAAAGAATCTTTGCTCTTTCTTGGTTGCTTTGTTTAATGTAGTCTAACATCATCGGCTGGCTACGGAAAGCACTGGAGACAGACAAAAAAGACTGGGTAAAAGAAACTGAACCAGAAGCAGATCAAGATGGGTACTATCAGACTACACTCCCAGCTATTGTTTTTCAGGTACAAGAGAACGTGGTTATTCTAGGAAAAAAAACTGCAGAAGTAGACCATGGATTTGGGGTGGAGGCAGGGAGCAGAAAGCCAAACTGTTTGGAATGCCATTGTTTTTAAGTCTATTGAAGTGCAGTTTTTTTTCCTGTAGAGTTGTTAGGTGGAGGGCTTTTTCTTTTGAAGTGTTTGTCTTTTTCATTTAAATACTTAGAGGCGTAGTTCTTTTTATTAATCTAAATTAGGAACCTATTTTGCCCAGCCTATTTAGCTGATACTTGTATTTGGTTAACTGTTTCTATTTAGCTCCCTTCATGCAAATTTGTAATAGAAATCTACCATATGAAATATTTTTAAGTTATTGGAATATCACTTGTTAATATGGCATTGAGGCAGTTAAGCATGTGTTTGTTCCTATAAATTATTAGTTGTACAAACACCTTAATACTGAAAAGATAAGTTCTGTTAAAGATTAAAAATGCTGCTGTTTAAACACTACTTCAGTTAACATTAATGCCTGTCCAAATTATTGGTGGTCTTCAGAACAGAAAAGATAACACTAGTTCTAAGACCTTAAAAACTCACACAAAACAAAACTGCACCACTCTGGTGGGAATGTTTTTAAACTGATCATTATCAACCAAAAAAAATCAGCTGTTTATGCTCGTTTCCTGGTTTCTGTTTACAAATATGACATTAGTCACCTTCAGTGAAATAAAGATGAGCTCTTCTTGCGTTTGTTTCCCAAGAAATATACTTCCTGGTTCTAGACCTGGATTTTTGCCATGCTCTTTCACATTTATATTAGCACCAATGTTGACATCAGGTAATCTTTTTTAGAAAGTGTGTGATGTCAAAGAAAACTGGTGGCTGATCAGCTCTGATGTTACATACCAGTGTTGTCAAGGGGTGCAATGTTGAGATTTATGTAATTGTGAATCTTCCAAATGTATCTCAAGGCCAGGCTGGATGGGGGCATTGAGCAACCTGGTCTTGTGGGATGTGTATATAGGGGAAAGAAATGGAGCTGTAGTTACAAGGTTATTTATTACTAGCTACAGAAGCTAACCCAAGAACTCAGATCCAGTAAAAACCAAATTCCTACTGAACAGCACATCCTTTTCTTCTTTTCTGAATAAAGAACACCTCTGTTTTCAGTATCAGAACAAAGCTGTAGCATACGCTGATGTTTGTCAAGATTTTATTAATTACACTGATGGAGAGATATTGGTTTAGTCAGCAGCAGTAATTGCCTGGGCTTGGTGTTTTTTTTCTATTTTTTATTTTTTTCTATTCTTTAAAAAAGCATATGTAGAGTTGGTGATAGTGACTGTTTTTATTTACCACTGAGATAGACCTGTGTTGACAACTAAACTTTTTTTTTTTTACGTAGATGTTTGAGCAGAATCTTCAGGTAGCCGCACAAATAAGCGAAGATTTGAAAACAAAGGTACTCCTTCTATGTCTTCAACAAATGAATTCATTTCTAACCAGGTAAAATTGTTTTTAAAATATAATCACTTTATTCTGCTTCTTTGCTCTTTGCTTTTCCTGTGGATGCTTCTTCATTTCTTTCTCTTGACATGCCAGCCAAGCTTTTCTTTCTTTTGCATTCTTTTTCTTTTAGTTTTGCATTCTTCCTTCTTTCCTCAAAGAACTTACTTTGTGCTGGTGACTGAAACTTTCAGTTCCTCTTTGCAAATGGCTCTCATTTTTGGAGTCACTTCCTCTTCTTATATTTCAAATTGGTAATCGTTTCTTGTAAGAAAGAGAGAGAAAGTCCCTCCTTGGTTGTATTCCAACCAGAACAGGGACACCAAACATCATGTGAGCAACAAGCCATTTGTTATAGAATCACAGACTGGTTTGGGTTGGAAGGGACCTTAAAGGTCCACAGAGCTCCAACCCCCGGCCATGGGCGGGGACACCTCCCACCAGACCAGGCTGCCCAAAGCCCCTTCCAGCCTGGCCATCCAGCCAATTCATTACCCACTGAGCAGTTCATCTGTCAAATCCATGTCTCACCAGTTTAGAGATGAGGATATCCTGAAGGACAGTGTCAAATGCTTTGCACAAGTCCATGTAGATGATGTCAGTTGCTCTTCCCCTACCCACCGATGCTGTAACCCTGTCATAGAAGGCCACAAGATTTGTCAGGCCTGATTCACCCTTAGTGAAGGTATGTTGGCTGCCACCAATCACCCCTTTATAAAATACTTCTAAATACCCGTCAGGCCCTTATGGTCCTACCATGTGTACTTAATTGTTAAAGATTTCTGTGTGGTTTATGACATTCCTTGTGTATGTTGCAGGTACAAAGATGAAGCACAGTTATATAAAGAAGAACATCTTAAAAATCGTCAGTACCCACAATGCTATGTTCAATACATGATTGCAGTCATCAACAACTGTCAAACTTTTAAGTAAGTCTGCATTTCCTTGCTGGATTGTGGAAAAGTAAATATAGTACTACATGTCCCCAGGACTTTCTCTTATTTTGTATACAAAAAGGGTTTCAGTTAAGGTAGTTCAGCTGACTAAACAAAAACAATAGGTTTAAATATGTTTTAGGAAGCAGGTGGTGTTGCATAGTTTTGTTGACAAGGTAAACTGTTACCCCTCACCTGTGAAAATCCACTTAGCTCTCAGAATTTCAGAAATTTGCTTCAATTTGTCTGGGACCTCTCATCTTATCTTACAGTTATTCTCTTACAGTTCACCTTCAAGCAGTGTGATCAAGGTGGACTTAAATGGAGGAAACTAAGGATATAGTTTGCTTTATTCAGAATGTTAGAACAGGAGAAAGAAATCCTCATTGTTCATGTTTCAAAACCAGAGAAATCTTTAATAGGTTTCAGATTTCAGCAATCCAAACTCACATTCATCTTTCTCTGCTGCCATTCTGAAGTCTGCCATCAGCAGTAGGGTTTTTTCACCAATATACAACAAGTTTAGTGTGATCACTGGAAAATCATACTGAAGCTGGCTAAGGTTTCCAAAGCAAGCAGCAAACATTACTGTCCCTTGCAAAAATAAGACTAGTGTGTCTATTTCTGTGCGTGTACTCAGAAAATTTAGTAGCAATGCAATTGTGCATCTTCTTCAGTGGATGATGAAAGGCCTTGTTATTTGTCACAGAGAATCTATTATCAGTCTGAAAAGGAAATACTTGAAAGTTGAACTGGAGGACACATTGTCAAGCAGTCATGCAAGCATGGATGCGATTTTAGACATCATTGCCAAAGAAGGATGCTCTAGCCTGCTAGATGAAGTCTTCATGGATTTAGAGGTTGGAACTTTTTTCCTCAAAAATAAATCAAAAACAAAACAAACAAAAAAAGCAGCAAAAACAACAAAGAGTGTTACTTTATAGGGAAAATAATTCAGGAATGAACTAGCTTTGAAGCCTCTTGATTGCTAAACATATTTTGTGTGGTTGGTGTGCTAGCAGAATGCCAAGAAACTTTGGTAATTCTTCATTTTTTGGCTTGAATATAGAAGACTGAAAGGAGTTTTAGTTACGTTTCATAAGATGATTTCAGACAGGTGTTTAGTAATAGTGAATATTTTTTTAGTAGGTATTACTTAGAGTAATACTTGCATAACCATGTTTTAATAACTATTTGAGAAACTTCTGATAAATTATCTTTGTATGAGTTTAATAAGGAAAAGAATTAAGATTAATTGACTGTAAAGGTTGGTGATTTCTGACTGATACATTTTCCTGTTTAGGAATTCTGCCATCTTATACAGAATAAGGGGAAAAAAAGGTGGGGGGGAAGCTTTTTATAGTTAAAAAGAAGAAATTGGGAGTATGGGGAGGAACCTTTATTTCATTTTTAACTATGTAAATTGATTATGAGGAGACACTCTATTCCAATGACCATTCTTTGAAATTATTTAACCTCAGTCTTCATGTCACTATTAGCATTTATACAGTGCTTTAATACACAAAGGATTTTTCCACTGGGGATAACAAAGCAAGATAGGTACGTAGATGCTGAGAATACTGGAGTTACGTTTGTGCAGTTCTTGGAAAGGCTTAAGGCGTGTAGGCCACCAGGTTTGGTATAAACACAAGAATATTGTGACACCATCAGAGAGGATCAACTGACTTCCCAGTAGTAGTTCAAGAGAACAAGCACAAAATTTCACTATTGCAGCAGTTTAAAGGTGCCTTATTTAAAATCAGAATTGTCAGCTCTTAAGCCAATTTTGTTCTTGCATCTTAGTTTATTCAGCATAGAAGTTTAAATAGAAAACATCCTAAAGGATTTTGGAAAACTCATATGAAACATGCTGAGGTTAGCTCACTTGCTTTGAGGTAGCACGCTCTATGGCAGCCATCATTCTGACAACCTTATCACATCATTTTTCTGCTGTTTATTCCTGCTGAAGGAATAATAATTCAAAGATACATAACACTTAAAATTGTCTGCTACGTTTTTTTAAATTGCATGGATGTGATTAAAAATGTCAAGAATCTGTTCTCATCAATTACAATTGTTGTTTTCTCAGACCCATCTCAATGAGCTGATGACAAAGAAGTGGTTGATGGGGTCTAATGCTGTGGGGACTATTTGTGTCACTGTAGAGGATTATTTCAATGACTTTGCAAAAATAAAAAAGCCTTATAAAAAGGTAGGTGCAAAATATTCCATGGTACTTTGCTAGTATACTCTGAATGCCCGGTTGTTTTTTAATTTATGAACACTGTATGGAATATAGAACTGGAACACAAATTGGAATTATGAATTAATTCATCACTGGGAAAAAAAATGTTCATTATCGTATTACAGAAGTCTGAATCTAGCATTGCTCATCTATTTTATTCAGTCACGTAAAATTTTCAGAGAGAGATCAGAGTTACAGGATTTAGTCCAGAAAACTCATTGGCATATTACTAGATAGTATTCTTACCAGCTTGTATTTTTCTAGCTCATGTCAGATGTCTGTAGACAGAAAAAAATAACTGTTCAGAAACTAGCACTGCTGGCCTGTAATTATTTTTTATAACTGCACAGTCTGTAATTTCTAGTTTTAATATGTGCAATAAGGCAGAGCTAAATTGGCAACATAAATGTTAGCAAATGCATAACATGTTTAAAATGCTGTTACTGCAGCATAATGTCCTGGATTAGTTTTTTAACTTTTTTTTTTCCTGTGGTTTGTCAAGGGATCTGTGGATTTTTCTACTATCCTTCAATCTTTTAGTGATATTCTACTTAGTTATCTCCATTGCTAAGTAAACTTGTGTACAGTTAATATAGCATGTCTTAAATGATTCCCAAAGATTTAGGAAACATTTGAAGTCAGCAAGATCAGGATTTACATTAAGTCTTTGAAGAAACTCTTAGGAGTGCTTTTAAGATACAGTCTCAACATGGATCCATAAAACAGTTTTCTTTTCCTGGACTGTTTTGTTGCTGTGAGGTAATAGTGCTTGACATGGGTTTCTTCAGTCATTAATGCCGGTCTCAGAGATCACGTGTGTTTCATCATGTAGCATTTATTGCCACCTTATGAGAAGATAAATGCTAAAAGACATTTGTCATTATCACACCTGTTCTTCCATTGTATCTCAGCACAAAAAAGTTTCCCACACAAGACACCATATATTCTAGCACTAGATGGGGCATGCTTGTATTCCCCAAGCATTGGGTAGCCTTTTCTTCTGGTTTTAAAATATTATTGGTTAATCATGTTCTGAAGATACAAATTTTAAAGGCCATACAAACAGAGCACCTGAGGAGAGTGTAGCCCAGTGGGTAACATGGCCTTTTGTAACAGCGAAGATCGGGATTTTACGTTCATTCTGCTTTGTTGTTCTCATCATGTGAGAAGAGAATACCCTATCACACTTCTTGAGGGTTCTTTTTTTTGTGTGTGTGCGTGTAGAGTTGTTCCACAGTTTTTCAGTGGAATACTAGTCTCCTACAGTATGTTCGGTGGTGTTAATTTTCCTCTGTATAATTGGCATAATTTCCACAAATACAAGAGAATTCCTCCCTGTACAAGCGGTAAACTTGAGTAAGGTACACATTTATGGTATTTTCGCATGGTTTTGAGAGTAGGACTTGAAATCACTTTTTCTATGTCCTAGGTGAGGCCATGGCTTCCAATACAAAGTAGTCTGTTGTTGCTTTTTGTTTTTTCCTCTCTGAAACTTTTCTCCAAAATGTTGACTAAGACTGAAAGCAGATACTGATTGAGTCTAAAGCGCGTTATATACTACTAAAGATAAGGTTTAAAAGTTTGTGGCTACCTGCTACTGGGCTTCTTAATCATAAGTAACTTTTCCCACTATGATCACTTAAAAAAAAAAAAAAAAAGTGGGATTTAAGCACTCAAATTACAGCTGATGAAAAGCTGATAGTGTTTTAGCTTTTTTTTTGTTTAGTTCCAAACCTCGGCATCAGCCTTACAGTAATAAGAGATGCTTCGCTTAGTCACCAGTATAGCTATTTGCTATAAAAAGACACGTTGAGAACAGCAAAGCAATTAAAGGAAGATCTGAGAAAGTGATTGGTATGGCCTGTGGATTCTGTGAGTCCACCCTCTCCCAACTTCTTTCCAAACTTGACCCCAGAGCACAAGTAGTGTAGGTCAGATACACTGTGCTTTATGCAGGGTATTGGAGTTGTCTAGCAAAAGCCTCTGTAGTGGCAGTTCATTCCTTGTCAGAAAGCTATGCTGTAAGGCGAAGCACAATCTGTTTTATGACTGGTCATCCAGTCATTTCACATTTGTTCCTCTATCTTTAGATATGCCCATGCTCCTCTAAAATAATTCAGATACTTTGGTTTTATTTTTTTTCTTTCTGTTAATTGGCACGTCTTTTTCAATGAAAGAAGTACAGGTCTTCACTTGTTAGCACCATGAAAATCTAAAGACATTCAAAGTGTATAGTATAACCAAAAATTGTATACCGGTGATAAAGTACAAATTAGTGTTTCAGAGCCTAATCATTGCTTAAAAAAATAAAAATAAAAAAAATAAAAAAGGATACATTTGCAGGTATCACTTGCATAAACCACCACCTTTTTCTTTCAGACAATGACTGTTGAGGCCCATCGAAGAGTGGTTGTGGAATACATCAGAGCAATCATGTTAAAACGTATATCTTTCAAGAATGCAGAAGAGAGAAAGGAGGGTGCAGAAAAAATGATCAAAGAAGCAGAGCAGTTCAGATTTCTGTTTAAGAAGATTGCAGCTGTAAGTATTTGCTTTGAGTAATGCTGTTAACCTGATGATTTAAAGCACAGGCATTTAGTGCTTGGGGAAAACAGCTAAAGTTAGATCTCCATGTGTCTAACGTGGGTGACTAGTGAATACCAAGAGTGCCAGTTGAGGGCGTGGACGGAGTTTCTGAACAAACACAGGACTGCTGCTAAAGTTCCTGAGCACCGGTTTCGGCTTCGGTGTGTTTAAACAGCTCTTGGCAGCTGCAATATCTGAATGGCCTCGCAGAGGCGGGTATCCCGAGTTCTGGGTAAGTGAAAGAGCGAAGCAGTTGTCTGGTAAGAAAATAGAATTGAGCCTTGTTTTTCCTGTCTGGAGGAAAGGCAGATACTACATCAAACAGATGATTATTAATTACCTAAGCAGCATGCAGCGTGCTTTGTTTAGAATCAGCAAGACAAGTATGTTGACCCCATCTAAAGGGCAAGAGAAATAGAAAAGGGAAAAAAAGAGGATTGAGAAACAACTTAAAAGATATGCCTAAAATTAATACTGAATCTTAACTGCAGAAGGAGTGGAAATGTGGAGGGAAACCCCTTAGGGCCAACAGATGATAAAAATGTAGGAAGAGTGCACAGAAAGATAAAGCCTAAAAAAACTAGGGTGTTTTTTTTTTTAACTGATATTTTAGGGGTAGGTTTCTGGACAAGGAAGAACAGTGAAACAGAAAAGGTTAAGTGTGATGATTTGTAAATATTTTAATTTCTTAATGCCTGCCTTAAGAAACCTGCCTTAATGCCAGCTGTTTAGAGAAATGGACACCATTGACAGACAAAATAATAATGATTGTTTATAGATATTGGGGGGTAGCTTTTGTTTTAGTTATTTTGTTGTTTGTTGCTTTTCATCTTGTAGGGATCTGGAGAGGACACTGAAGGACTTTGTGATATCATTGAAGCTATTGCAGAGGTTATCAAACTAACTGATCCTTCACTGCTCTATTTGGAAGTTTCAACTTTAGTCAGTAAATACCCAGATATCAGGTAATTTTCTTTGCCTTCAAAATCAAAAATAGATGGATATCATAGTTTCTTTGTAGTCTTGGAATAAGTTGAAAACAATGTATAATATGTGTTATTGGTATTTTAGAATATAGCAAATTTTAAAAATCAATGCTAATAGAGAACATACATGTCTTGGACTAGGAGGTATGTGTATTTAAGTACTCATTGAGACAGCAAAGGAATAATGAGAATACTTCTATTCTGTGTTTTGTGAGGATAAAATGCATCTTAGAGCCTTAAGAGCAGCCAAAATATTGCTTTATTAAGCTGGAGAAGCCAGTTGTTGGTGACTAAAGATCTGATCAAGTATTAGAAGTCTTCACTGAAACTGCTTGACAGGATTGTGAACTGTGATATTTGTGACAAAATCTTACTTCTGCAAAAACTAATGCCAGCTTTTACCTTTTTTTCTTTGTCAGGGATGACCATATTGCAGCCTTGCTGACAGTGAGGGGAGATGCCAGCCGAGACATGAAGCAGACTATCATTGAGACTTTGGATCAGGGTCCAAGCCAACCCAATCCGAACTATGTGCCAATTTTTAAAGAAATTACAGTTCCTACTCTCACTGTGCCAAAACTTCTGAAGTAACTGACAATTCTGTTTAGGTGTCATTGCAGGTCTTGGATCAACGGGTGTGAAATATTTGAGGGCAAATTTAGTAGTGCTTTTTCGAGTACAGTTCAATCCACGATGATACTTGCTGGTGATCTTTCTTTCTAAAGACTTGGATGTGGGGAGGTCTTCTCTCAGAAATCTGATTACAAAGGTTATAGAATGCAGCTTCTATTGACCAGAGGGTTCTTCACTGACTCATTTGTTTCAGCTGGTTTTGTTGTCAGCAAGTACACTTTTCTTGTGGAGCATGTTTGCAATGCCATATAAAGATAGTGCCTTAGTGCTGGAGAGCCCAATACCTTGCTTACAGCACCTAAGCTCGCTCTTGGAACTATCTTTATATGGCACTGCATTGGGTGTATATTAACTTCCTCAGTTTCCTTTCACGTTATACTTTGTGTATGTACTTACTTTGGTGTAAAATAGTTTATTGCAGAAAGCTTAATTATGGAATCAGCTCCCTGACAAAAGGACTGAAGAGTTTGCTTATAGGGTGAATGAATAAATAGCTACACGGGCCACTTGAGGTACAAAAACTTTTTGTCATGGATTCACTAAAAATAGCACATAAAATTTCAATATTTCAATAAAATGTTGAACCGTTGCTCTGTGTTTGTTACAGCTGTGCAGAGTCGGGGTGGATCTAAAGGGTTTGGGGTTTGTTTTGTTTGAGGGGTGAATAAAGGTGGCAGTGGGTGTTTTTATGGCAGGAGGACACGCTGGGCTTTGTCCCCCCACACGGCGGGGTTAAGGGGTCCCGTTATCTCCCAGCGTTTGCTGCCCCCCGTGAGGGGCGGGCGATGGCGGCCGCGGCCCCCTCAGGGCGCCGCCGCCTCAGGGAGCCCCGCCCCCTCCCCGCCTCCTTCCCGCCCTCTGGCGGCGGCGCCGTCGCCCTGGCAACGGGCGGGCGCCGCGCGCCTGCTCCCGCCCTGCCGCGGGGGCGTGGCCTCGGCCGCCTCGCCCAATCCGGCGCCGCCCTGGGCCCTTCAAGCCCCGCCCCGGAAGTGCGCGCGGGTCAGTCGGCTGCCGGGCGGCGGCCATGATGGCGGCGGGGGCTCCCATGCCCGATGCCTCGTTCCTGTGGGGCGTCTTCCAGCGGTGAGGGGCGGACGGCGGCTGGGGGGGGCCGGGGGGTGTCCGCCGGAACGGGCCTGGGTGCCGGGGGCGCCGGGGTGCCCGGGTCCGGCAGCCGGAGCGAGGCCTGGGAGGGCCCCGGGGGAGCGCGGTGCGGGGCCGGGCGGGGCCCTGAGGGCTGGGTCCTGGGCGGGGGGGGCTGGAGGGGGCACCGAGAGGGGGGGCACAAAGGAGGAGGGGTGGGAAAGTGGAGAGAAGCAGCCCTGCAGCCCCCCAGGGGAGTGCAGCAGGAGGGCAGGAGGTGCTCCAGGCAGGCAGCAGCAGTTCCCCTGCGGGCTGTGCAGGGAGAGGCCCCCGGTGGAGCAGGCTGTCCCCCTGCAGCCCATGGGTCCCCCATGGAGCAGATCTCCACGCTGCAGCCCCCCCGTGGGTGGAGGAGCCCCCGGTGGAGCAGGGGCACGGAGTGACCGTGAAGGAGCGGCAGAGGCAAAGCGTCAGGGACTGACCGCAGCCCGCTGTTCCCCCAGCCCCCTGTGCTCCTTGAGGGGGGAGGAGGTAGAAGAAGGTGGATGTGGGGGGGAGGTGTTTTTAGCTTGCTTTTAGTTTCTCACTGCTTAATCTCCCTATGCTGAGTTTATTGCACCCGTGACAGTAATAGGTGAGTGATCTCCCCTTTCTTATCTCAACCCCTGAGCTTTTTTTCGTCGCAGTTTCTCCCCCCGTTCTTTTGACTAGGAGAACAAGAGAGCAGCGTGGTGGAGCTTAGGTACCCATCAGTGTGAAACCACCAAATTGTTATGTTTTCATTAAAATGTCAGCTTAACTTTCAGTAGCAGCTCATTAAAAGTAAATCCAGTGATAAAATACCTAGAAAAGAAATAGTGAATAAAAAGGGGAGCATCTTTTGTTGTTACAGTCCATGCTGTTTATGTGTGTGCTGAGTTCTGTATGTGGTTTGTGCCATTTTGGAGATGAGGAAGGAATTTAGCAGAAAGAACTGAAAAGCTGTAGAAAAAGACAACAAAGACCACAGGAATAAAAGAGCTGCTGCAGAGGGATCAACCAGGCAGGACTGGGAAGGGTTGAAACTGAGGAGAAATGAATCGTCGCTGGCAAGGGGAAGGTCATCCTGTGAGATCACCTTCAGATACCCTTCTGCAGAAGGTGTGCCCATGCTTTGCTTGGGCAGAAATTGCTTAGCTTATTCATTTTGGGACAGAGCTCCCTTCTCTACGGCCATAGATGTGAGGGCTGCAGGGAAGCTGGCACCCGTCTACGCTTCTTTGTACTTTGAACCCTGGACAGGTGTCAGGGGGTTGCAGTAGATTTGTTGCAGTATTTCTGGAAACAGCTTTCTTCTAGGGGCTGTGCCCGACCTGTTCTGCTCTCCAGGTGTGTTCTTGTGTCTCTCGTCACTCATGTAGGTTCTGCAGTTTGCGTTGTACCTTGTGTCCTGTCCCAGAATGGCTCATCAGTCTGAGTGACGTGTTTAATTTGCAGTAACCATAAATGGTTTACCAAATAAGATTAATCTTTTCCAAAAGGCCACTAATTGCATTTTATTTAGTGCGTATGAACCAGAATATTGAGGTCTTGTGTAACTGAAATGTGTGAATTTCAGCCATTTAAAGTTTGCCGCTCTTTTCTTTTCCTGCCTCCAGGGTTGATAAAGATAGGAGTGGAGTAATATCTGATACGGAACTCCAGCAGGCATTGTCCAATGGTGAGTCTGTGAATGAGCACTGGGGTAGTTTGCTGTAAACTTAATGCTGAATTTCATGTGAGACTGCTTACTCGATGCCAGAATTCTTTTCTGATTGGGGAGGAACATTCTTAGCACTGATTAGGAGCATTTAATTGATAGGAAAAGGCTGAAAGGGAGGAAGGAAGTAGGCAATAGTCCTGATCTTATTTCATTGGTTTTTACTGAGCATACTGTTAGTGCTTTTTGGATTTCAAGGGAAATTTTCTGGGTTTGGTGCATGTTAATAATGCCTCAAACTCAATTCCTGTTGTAAACATTACAGATTTGCGTGCTGGGGATTAAAGGCATGTGCATCCCTTTATTTTTTCCAGCTCTGTTTCCTAGAAAGCATAAATACACACCGTGGTTTTTATTCCTTGCTGGTCACAACTGAACCTTTCTTTCTTAACCAGGGTCAGTGTGTGTGACCTGGATGAGGATCAGATGTTTACAGCCTATTTACTGTGTATAAAATATTTTCTTTCAGTAAGGTGCTGGAAGCAAAGATGGTATTTTTTTTTTTAATGAGGCTTTTTTAAATTTATTTCCTAACGAAATAGAAAGATGCCCTCTGAATCTGGTATTAACACTTCTGTGGTGTCTGTCAGTTCCGTTCTGTAACGCTGGAATAGGAACTAGGGCGTGGTCAAATAACTCAGGGAAGCAAAATACAGACAGGATAATTTTTTCCAGTAGTCTTTTTTTTTTCCCCTTTGGTGACTCAGAGTTGTTGCTTTGGGCTTTTTTCACTCAGTATTCTGAAAAAGAGCATTTTGAAGCTGTGCACCTCTGAGTTTGTATCAAGCTCCCCCTCTCCCAAGGTTCAAACCCTTCATTCTTGCGGCGTAGCGTGGCTGAGAAGGGCTTAAGCTGGTGCTGTGAGCTGGCTGCAGGGCCGCAGACTGAGAGGCTCCTTTTGTCAGGAATCACCTGCCCAAAATAACCGTGGATGGCCCAATTTGGTAAAAATACAGTCTTGTAACTAATGTAGACTTACTAGAATATTTCTGCTTGGTAATATACCTGATGAATGAAAAGCAGTGTGTTGTCGCTGCTGCACCTGGTTCATAACTGAAAGGCTGTTTTGAACAAATTCCTCAGCAGAAGCCAAGCTAACTGGGTTAAGCCGCTGTTTTCACATAAAATTCCAGGGTTGTACAAAATGCCTGGCTTCACCTGGCATTGTACATTTTATATAGTTTAAATTTGATCAGATGAGGAGATATTTAAATAATGTAATGGCGATGGCTGACTGAACTCGTCCCTTGTTGGCGGTGTAGGTTAGAGGTTTCAGTGCTTTGCAGATTTGACAGATCCCCACCCAGTGAACTCGCTGTTCAACGAAGCGTTGATCCAGCTGCTGGCTTCCTTCGCTCCAGGGGGCTTTACATCTTGTACACTCAGGTCACAAACAACTCAGCACAGTCTTTCCAAAATATATCCTCTGGTGGGTGGCTGTGTGTGGCCGGCCTGCAATCTGCCACGGGCTAAAAGAACAGGAGGTGATTCTGAGCCATCTGAAAGTAGCGCACAGGTCTCCCTGCACCCCGGAGTTCCCCCGTGCTCCACGCTCAGCTTTCCAGCACGTCAGGGCTATGCAGGTGACATGGCGTGGATCAGGGAGGGACTGATGATTGCTCTGTGAGGTTGTTTGCACAATAAAGTCCTGTGCTCCCTTGGCTGTTTATTTTTATTTTCCTGTGCTGACTTGTTAACGACGGTGTCAGGGGAGTGGGAGGAAATCGTTTTTCGCTATCTATTGGAACAAGCTGAAATCTGTACAGCTCCTTGGCGCTGGAGTTGCTGGGGTTTCCCTGTATGGAATCTGTTAAATCTGTTGGAAAATTTCAGCATAAAATAAATTAACTTTCAAACTGTGTTTTTACTTTTTCCTCCATTCTATTCAGAATTAAATGCTGGCGTCCTGTTAATAATTAATAATTTTAGACTTATCTCCTGACAGAAATCAAGGGAATAGTTGTTCTCTAAAATACTGCTTGCTCAAGCATTTTCAGAGCCATTTTTAATCTCCTCTGCTTCCCTTTCTGTTCGTGTGGAAATGGTCACACGGCCTGGCTGAGGAAGAGTTGTGCTTCCTGCTGCTGCCTCTGCAGGTCTGCGCTGATCGTTCCTCCTCCTGCAGGAGGAGTTCGGGGCTGGTGTAAGCACCTACTCCCCCACCTCTTGCTCCAGCAAAGCACGGGTGTCTCCACACAGCTGCACTCTGTGGCCTTTTTTTTTCTGGAACCCATCTATAAAATAAGAAGATAAACGCAACCACCTCACAGGGGCTCTGTTGTAATGTACTGGCTCCACCTCATTTAGCTCTGAATCCGCTATTTATATTTCTTACAGGTTTTTTGTTAGCTCGTTGGTCAGTTGCATTTTTTGAACGTTACCAAAGTCTGGAGGAACTAAGTGAATTCTTTCTGTTTCAGGCACGTGGACTCCATTTAACCCCGCCACAGTCAGGTCAATCCTTGGTGAGTGTGGGTGCGTGATGCCAGGCAGACGGGAGGGATGCTGTCGGGGTTTGGTCTGTCAGACGAGTGAGAAAGCCCTCGCTGCTGAGTTGTTTCAGGGAAATCCAAGTATCGCAGCACGTGCTCAGTGTGTGTTCCTGCTGTAATATTAAATATTAAAGGCCTCTTGAACCAGTTTGGCTGTGGTATTAAGAAGCTGGTCTTTGATTGTAAGGTGGCACGTAAGTTGTCACCTTTTTTTTTGTCCACACAGCCCAGTAGTTGTAAGATAAACCGAAGTACTGCCCCTTTTGAATAATAAACGAATGCCTTTTGTGTACATGTACACGCACTTGTCAAAGTAGCCTGAGAGGATGTTCCTCAGGTGTGACTCAGCTGTTACTGGGGAAAGTGTCAGCTTAAATATTTTAGAGACATCACGTGGCTTTGTCTTTGCAATTTGTTTTTGTTGGTCTGCAATTTAATTCTGTGTTCTCCTCTGAAAAGCCCAAGTAGGCTGTACAACGCTGTACAACCTTTCTCTGTCACTGGATTACAAACCAAGCCCTAAATACTGTTGGACTGGAAATGAAAACCCAGGAAAAATAAATACCCTGTGATTCACTCTGGTCCTCTTATTTTGCTTCATCACTTCCTCCTTCAGTGGATGACTTTGCTTTTTTTGGCAGAACTTTCCAAGATATCACTTGTATTTTAGCCATTTCTTACCTGTTTTCAGTACTCCCCAAAGCAGTCACGCTTCCTTCTTAAAATAGTAGCAGCTCTTACTGAGTGTTAGCAGAGCTAAGGTTTTACACGGGTTTCTGCTTTCTGTTTCAGGCATGTTTGACAGAGAAAACAAAGGTGGCGTGAACTTCAACGAATTCACAGGAGTCTGGAAGTACATCACAGACTGGCAGAATGTCTTTCGAACGTATGATAGAGACAATTCTGGAATGATTGACAAACATGAGCTAAAGCAAGCACTAACAGGTTTTGGTAATTCATTTGTAATTACTGTTTTTATGACCGGGTTATGTCAGCAGATGAGCTTATTGTCAGGGCTGCACTGCTCTGACAAAGGTGACTGAAAATAAAAATGAGATGGGTGAAATGCAGTAGGCAAAGGTAACTTTTGAAGATACTTGTTCCAGAAGCAGTTTGTTTTAAAATATATGTTTCCTTTTAAGGAAAAAATGATATGCATGTGGCAGTACATGAGTGTGAAACGTTTGTTCTGTCAGCAAAGTGTTAAGTCACTTTAACCCACCCTTCTGTTTGCTGTGACCGTGTGTCATCATTGTTGAGCCCGGTTTTTATTGCATGCACTTTGGCTGAACACCCGTGCTGTGCAGCACAGATACTCAGATGCCCGCTGAAGCAGCTGGCTGTTTTCCTAGAAAGGCCGTGGTATTGGAAGCATTTTAAAGGGCTTCTCTTTTCCAAGGTTACCGCCTGTCTGATCAATTCTACGATATCCTTATCCGGAAGTTTGACAGACAAGGAAGAGGCCAAGTTGCTTTCGATGACTTTATTCAGTGCTGTGTTGTTTTACAGGTAAGAAAGGAGATGTACTTTTGATGTCAACTGGAAAAAACACACCTTTTCTTAAACTTCTGTGGTTCCCTTTAATTATATTCAATCTAGAATTTATTTATAAATAACCATCCATTTGAAGTATACAGGAGGTGCTAGAAACACTGTAATTCACTGGCCTTCGCTTGTTATCCATTCGCATCACATATAAGTAAGCCCAAAACCATTTTTTGACTTCTTAAATGTTTTTATGGAGTGAAAAAATGTAAAATAGTCTCGGTGCTTTTAAAAGAAAAACATTAAATGCAATTTTCTTTAGCTTTAATATAGGCACACTTAAAACTGGAGTGTGTCATGTCCCATGTTTCCCTCTTGAGTATACTCCAAAATAAAGTTCTCGTAATCTGATTGCAAGGACTTTTGCATCTCTGTTTAAGGCTCTGATTACAAAGATTTTGACCTAATACCTGAATTATCTGGTCTTCTGTCACTGCTATTTCTGCAGGGGCAATGGTAGTAAAAGACATTTAAAACAAAACAAATAACAACAAAAATTCCAGTAATAGGAGTGTGTATGTGAATTTATAGAGGGAACTGCTGTTTTACAGGTACATCTTGTTTAGAAATAAATCACTGAATGATTTCTCACCCTGAGAAATTACAAGCCCTTAAGCACTGATAAGCTTAAGGTTTCTCTAAGAATCTCAGACATTTCAGAAATACATGTAAGGCTTTGGGGAAAAGTGGACAAGCTGAATTTTAGCAGGCTAGTCAGAGGGATTTTTTTCTTACGCTGGCTGTTGTTGCAGCAGTATCCTAGCTATTTTCCTATATGCACCATGAAGAGAAGGGAGTGCTCTGTAAGTAGGGTCTTCATTATTTCCCTAAGTTTTGGTCTTCTCCTTTCAACTTTACATCTGTAGCCATAAATCAAACACTGCTGCTGAAATATAAGTTGTTTTTATATTCATTTGTAATATGAGCAAATTGTACTTTTGGTGATGCATTGAACAGATTTGGCCAAAAAGATGAGAAATGGACATGGTACTCATTAGATTCTGTCTCCAGATTGTTCCCACCTCCCCAGGAGCCAGCTAGAAAAAGCTGTCTGCTCCATGAAGAAGTGCCTGGTTAGGCGTAGGTGTCATATCATAAGATACATCATACATCATGAACCCAGATCTGCTGCACAGCTCGAGCACAGGATGCAGCAAAGAGCTACCGCTATGGCACGAAAACCATACAGTGCCTTCAGAGGGCATGCACAGCAAGCATTCATACAGCTAGAGAAACCTGGGGGGCAAGCAGAATAGCTGCCAGTTTGATTTTAGCGTGTACCAAAACGTGTGTTTTTCTCCCCCTTTTTTAGAGGCTGACCGATGTATTCCGGCGTTACGATACGGATCAGGACGGCTGGATTCAGGTGTCCTACGAGCAGTACCTGTCCATGGTCTTCAGCATCGTATGACATTGATGACTCGGGATTCCACCCTGGCACTGTACAGACTGGAGTTGCCAAATGATCATGTACTGAATAAGATTATGGATGTATTATATTGGATATAATTTCACATTCTTAAATTTTGTACGTTCGTCGTCACCTTCAGAATCTGTACTTGAGTTGGTTTTCGTTTTGTATTACCGTAAGATCGACCACCTCTCGCTTACTGCGGTACAGAAAGCACAGAGCCTAGATTTAACCGGTGCAATGTCAAACCTAACTTTCTTCCACATATCCTGCATGAGGAAAAAAATGACTCTTTAGAAATGCCAAATTAAAATAGTGCTTGTTAGTTTGTCAGAGTCGGAACGCCGAAGTTGCACAACATGTTTTGCATGTGCCTTACTTTTCTAAGAGGTTAACGTATTAATTTTTAATACAGAATTTAAAGTTAAGTAAAAGTGCTAGACCAACCTACACAGCCTACTTTATTTTTGTACAAGTTTTTAAGGGAATGGTGGGGGTTGTGTTTCTGTATTCAGATTTCTGTGGCTTAGGGGTCCCTGCCACTTAACAGGGGTGGTCTTTTTGCTTTGCTTTGTATTTTTGCTTTCTAGCTGCCCCTTCCTTTCAGGGTATCCTTGGGGCATCTTCCAATAGAACTGCTTCTCATCTTTGTCCTAAACTGCATCTTCCGCAGTGAGTTCCCTACAAAAATAAACCTCTAGTTCCTCTGGATATAGTTCCCTCTGCTTAGTGTGCTCATTTACCACAAATAATCCTCCTTTTTGTGGTGAAGCACTCATTCTGAAGTGGCCTTGAGCTGACAGTCAAGCATCCTCAAAACCTCACCCTCACCACTTGCAGATGGAAAACTGAAGCAGAAAAAGTAATTAGGTTTCTTCTGTCACGCACCAGCTCCTGCAGTAACTGAAGAAGCAAAGACAATCTTACAGCTGCACTGCCCGAAGCATTTAAAGTTTACCTGTGGCTGTTACTCATCAGAACATGGCTACAAAGGTTAATAGCAGCCCCTGGTGACATTTCGGTAACGCTTCCTAAACACCTTTGTGGTGGGACATCTGTAGGGAGTGACAGGTGCTCGCAGCAAAGCACTGGGGGCACCCAGAAGGGGTGTTGGGCCTCCAAAGGGCGATGGATTGCGTCTGGGAGGTTGGGGACAGGAATGGTGGCAAACACCAGCGACCGCTTCAACAGCCTACGACAAACTGCAGCTAACTTACTTCAAGGAGACCAGGGAGAAAGCTTTCCAACAAGTTACTGCCTGCACCTTACCTCCCCAGAACGCTGTGTATGTATGCGCTGCATGTATTCCTGAAGGGAGGGAGAAAGAAATGAGAATACAAATTCCTGAGGGAATAAGGAAGAAAGAAAGAAAGAAATGAGCCCCGTATTTCTGGGCTCAAAAGAGCTTTCCTATTAAGAAGCCCCACTAAAAAGAGCTTCCTCGCTCCTTTCCCACTAAGGAACGTGTCTCTTTGGATCATACGTCTGACCAAATGAAATCCAGTAAATCTGGGATCAGAATAGGACCAAGATAACAAAACTAGAACTAAAGCTGGTAGCAGAGAAATTACCAAGGTTGTGGCCTGTGAAGAAGGCACCTTTTTTTTTTTCAGCCAGTGTCCTCACACATCACTGATTGCTGTAGAACCACCGGAGCTGACAGCACTTTCTGAGGGAGCCATGCTGGTGTGGAAAATTACCAGTGTCCTTGGACTGGGATGGCTCTTGCCTCAGTGGGACACAGAGATCCTTCTGAAGGTGCGAAAGCAAGTACACCACAGCCCAAGCAACCGGCTGAAAGTAGGCCAGAGATTCCTCAAAGCCTGCTCTGTCCTGTTTTTTTATCAATGGCCTTTTAAGGAAAAGCAAACTCGGTTCAAAGGGCTCTGCTGCAGCCTCAAAAATCTGACCTCAGTGCCAGAGCCACTGAGTGCCGCTGTATTAATGCTGCACTGAAGCAATGCAAGCGCTCGGCGTGACAGTGCTCTGCAGAGCAGCAGTGCCTACCCTGCGAAGATGGTTTCCAAGGCCCTAAAGGACCAGAGCCTGGAACAGGGACAGGCAGAGGACTCGTTCTGCTCCAGTCCTGTAGTACACAGGAGCAGGAGAAGGCAGAGGTTTCTCAGGCACGAGTAGCCAGAGGCTGACTCAAGGAAATTGGCCAATGCAGGAAAGTGAAACAGCTTAGGCAATCCTACTGTGGTAACTGCTAGGGTGGCAGAACTCCCAAGGCACTTCTGTGTTGTTTTGTTTTTGATTCCCCTCCAAGAAGGCTTCTTACTTGGTGCCTTTGTGGCCACTGCTGGTCACGTGCCCAAAAGGTCAGCAGCCTGGATTTATGCTGTCCTTTTCCTGCTCTCAGCTGAATCCTCCTTTAAAAATGGCAGAGTTGAACTAAGTGAAAACAAGACGGCCAGAACCCAAAGTCACAATCTGTCAGAAGACATGTTTGTAGGACAAGATGCTGGCTAGACAGAAAGAAGTGAAACAGGCACATTCCCTGGATGGATTGACAATGACTGAAAGAGAGACCCTGTAAAAGAGAACATTTCGAGTTGTAAATACCTGGCCTTCCAGAGGGAGAAGATGTCACAGAAACCCTCTGAACAAGGCAATGATGCCCAGCACCACAGTTCTGCACAGCCCTGAAAAAAACAAACCAAGCTTCATTACTCCTGTCACAAGGGCAAACGATCCCTTTGCAGAGTTGCATCCTGAAGGTGCTTCTGTCCATTCTTCCTGTACTTCACTTGACTGCTAGGAAATTGCACTTCACAGAGGAATGTGTTCCCGTGAAAATAAAGATACCGCTTGTTTGGCACAAGTCAGCTACACCTGTTTGCTGGTATAGGTAGTGGTGGAAAAAAGTCTCTGAAATCAATTGTGGAGACAACAAATTTGGGAGTGCCGAGTGGCAGAGCCCAGGCCAGTATCAGTACAGCTACTGTACACTGAAGCTCTTAATTTTCAAAGCTAGGAAGTCTTTAGAAAGAAGAAAGATAAAAATAAAGGAGAAAGCAGCAATGAAGCTGAAACTGGCTTAGCTAAGTGATTGAAAGGAGCTGTAAAGAATAAACTGCTGGAGGACTGAACTGAAGGACTGGGAGCAGTTGCACATAAGGGGTAAGAGAGGCTTGCAGTGCAAACTGCCAACTTAAATCCCTAAATGCTTGTGCTTGTGTGAAAGAACCAACAGTCAAGCATATCAAGAAGTTCACTGATTTTGGTAAGAATTGAAGACTGAAACAAAGCAAGGAGCATTTACGAGACTAAATGCTTATCTACAGTTCAGGAAACCTGTAGTAACTCAGTGATGAAAAGCATTTCTTAGCTTGCTTACTATTCCGAATTGACTTCAAAATGCAGGAACTGTTTTCCCAAAGCAAGACCCTGTGCAATGAGCAGGAGCAGGAACTGTTCCCCAGAACAAAAAATAAGAAGGGAATGTGGAGGACGAAAGAGCATCTAAGTTGGGAAGAGCTCATCCAGCTACTGTACGCCACTGGAATATCCCAAAGGGAGTCAGAACTGAAGAAAAGTGACCTCTCTACAAAGATTCCAGCTGAAAAGGTCGTAACGTTAATTTTCAGAGTTTTTCTGCAGTTTCAGTATTTAGTTGCACTACACTTTCTGGAGGAAAGGGAACAGGGTACAAGAATTAAGAATGAAAGTGGATCTTTTCTGATGTGCAAGCAAAACAATTGTCGGAGGAGAATTTTAGAGAATCACATTTATATGCTCTATAATCAGCTGCTTTGTTGCCTTTGTGTTCAAATCTACATGTCAAGTTCCAAAGTTACTTTCTGTGAATGCAGCAGTATGACAGCTCATGAAGACAGACCCTACTCCAGCAGGGACAAATAAATATTCCAGGTATAGATGAGAAGAAAAATCATAGTCCATAACACAGCAGTGAAAAGGAAAACAGATGTTGGGGAGTAAGCTGTCTCACTCTAGTCCCTCTTTTTAGCCCCATGTACACTCTATTCGGTTACATAAAGCAGACATCTACTGCTGGGAGTTCATGAACTTACAACTCAGAGGTGCAGGGAGAAGAAAACATAAGTCTGGACCACTGATAAACATCATGAACTGGTGATTACTTCTCAGTTAGTATGTCATTTTGATTAATGTTTTAATTTTCCCTATTATTTTAACTAATTGCCTTATAGGTTCTATTATTTCTTAATATGCTTTTCTTCAATAAGGAAGAATGAAGAATATTCTCTTTTAGTATGGATCAATTCAACAAATGAGTTTCTAAGTCAATTTGCAACAGTTTCATTCTAAGCAGGATAAAAAAAGTCTGCCTATATTGCATGTCCCTTTCCATTCTGCAAAAACAAAGGCAGGTAAAATGCCCCATTACATAACCATCCCCTAAAACCAATTACATTTTTCTCACACAGCATGACATTAAGCCAGAGAATACCTTTGCTGCAACACTCGCCTTTCGTTATCCTAAACTGAAATGTAGTGTATCAATTTCTAAAATATCCAAATTATAAAGCCTTACATTAACTGACCTTAACTTTGTTTGAAGGAAAATACACCTGCATTTTCATGCAACAGACCTGAATTTTCAGTGAGCTTTCTTCCTAAAAAGTTAACATAAAAGCAAACCTTTCTTTTTTTCTGAGTGGGGAAGGATGCTAAAAGGGCAATTAGCTTTTTCCTGACAGAGTAACATTAACATATTTTCAAAAAATAACAAAAGATTTTTCTGCAATATACTAAGATATAACAAATACTTTAAAAAAGCCTAAACAAAATAGTGTTCACCTCCTTTATGTGCAAGTTTGTGTTCCAGCTACATTTACCACGTTAAAATGTTGAACTCTACCTCCCTTTCCCCTTCCAAAACCAGTCCCACAATCAAACGCAGTCTTTTCCTGAATGCCAAGAGATGAAGATGCTTGAATCTGATCATGTTTCCAGTTCAGCAGTCGTTGCTCCTTAATCTTTTCCTCTAGTTTCTACTAGCACATTGGCTAACGTCTGAATATCTATTTCTAGAAAGGGGAGATAAAAGAACGTGAAGTTACTTCTTTTTCATGTTATTTCACATCATATGGCACAGAATGTTAAAATGAAAACGTTACTATTCACTAAATGTTCCTAGCTGTAGTACCATGAGCATAGTTCACATCTGTCCAAACTCCCCCCCACTGACAGCTATCTATCCAACTGCCTTTAAATGTTTTATAATCTATTTCCAAACCACAATCATCCTTTTTAACGTTAAGGAGTATTTTTGCAATAATGGGAAAAACCACGTTTTCATGTAATGAACCAGCTCTCTGACACCATTTCTGGCTTGCTGTTCCAAGGTGTTTGATCCATTTTGAACACTTTCATCTACTACAGTGCCACCCTGCACGCATTCCAATACTTTTTTCTTTATGCCAACACATCCCCTCCCTACAGTGGCCACCCCTGCAGTACAAACTCCCACCATGACATAAGATGCTAGCTAGCAAGATGACCCAGTACAAACATTTCAGTTCAGGACTTTTTTGTGCTATCAAATTTTTCCTCTGACTTACAGCCCTATCTAAATGCCAAGTGGCAAAGCCTCCTCAGAGAGGCAATTACTGCTATTCTTCATCTGATACAGGCGCTGATCAGAATGGACTCTACTCTGAACTAAGCGTATTATCTCTGTAGCACGTGATCTCACATTTATTTTAAGCACGTATGTTGATGTAACTCACTTTACAAGAACTAATTATAATCTTACTTTGAAGGGCTGGATAATACGGAGCCAACTGCTTGAGCATCCTGGTCATTGCAGGTATGTCATTTCCTCCTAGTCTGTTCAAAGTGTTAGGAGCAAGATCGACAGCGTCTTCATCAAATGTCGTGTCTGAGCCTCTGAACTGCTGGTCATCTCTGTATGAACCACCGCCAGAGAAGGGATGGTGACGTGAACCCCAGTCACTTCTGTGGCCTGACTTCTGATGCCGATATTCTTGACACCTAGTTTCCCGGTTCCAGCTAGAATCCTGGTTCCACCTAGAGTCCTGGTTCCACCTGGTATCCTGGTCCCACCTAATGTTCTCATTCCACCTGCAGTCCTGGTTCCACCTGGAGTCCTGGTTCCACCTGGTGTTCTCATTCCACCTGGAGTCCTGGTTCCACCTGTAGCCCTCGTTCCACCTGGAGCCACCTCTTCCTGAAGAAGCAGAATGTGCAGAAGACGTACAAGAATTTGCAGGCCCATCACTCCTGTAACAGGAATAGCTCTGCGAAGGATAGTTTGTTGAGTATCTTCCAGATGAAGGATACGAAGAATTGGGATAGGGTAATCCTTGATCACTTAAGCTCCTTGCTTTTGTACACGTTTGTTGGTTCCTCCAGTTTGTACTTTCCTCGCCGTATGGCAGTCTGTTGTCGGGGAGCTTACTTCCTTGCACATCTTTGGGCATATATTCTGCTGAGTACTCACTCACTGAATTTGTCTCATACGAAGAGGCCTCACGGGCCAAATTACTGCCAGAAGCAGATCGGCTGAACTGTCTCAGCCATTCACTGATCCCACTGGCTGGACATCCAGTCTGAAGAGCAAAAGAGTCCCTGAGTGCAGACATCATTGCAAAGTCACTAGGTCTTAGTCCATAGAGAGATGATCTGTCATCCCTTTGGTAACCGTATGAGTTATCAGGAGCAAAAGAATCATCTGCAGAACACTCTTCATACTGAGACGAAGAACCTTGATTCCAGTCAGAATTTCCTAAATAAATAAATGAATTAATAAATACATAATTTTAAAAGGGCACTAGAAGTTAGTAAAATATGAAAATACCAATTGAAAACACAACTACTCGGAGGTTTTATGAAGGGTTCTTCTCACATGTCTTGCCTTTATGTCTTACGTGAGTCCCTTCATCTTTTTACCCCAAATCCTCGCGTTAAAATAGGTTAGACAAGGTTTTCACTCACATGTTCTGATTAATTTTCGCATCAACCCACATGGCATGAGACTGAATGTAATTAGAATAGTTTAGATACCTTTTTTGTTTTGATTTTTCTTCCAATTCATTAACTACAAGTGGGACAATTTTTTGCAAAAGAAACTCAATAAGCCCCTTTTGGTCTGACTATTTACTGGGTTAGCAAGTTTTTTTTCCTGGGTTAGGTTTTTTGACCATGTTGAACAACGGACTCGATCCAATTAATCCCTTCAACTAATAAATCATCTCAATTCAACTATACTTTACTGTCAAAGCATCTTAAAAATCAACCACTGGAATTATTTGAAGGCCTCTCAGGTAAGATGTACCTAAAAGTGCTCACGAAGATCAGGATACACTAACTGTATACCTTATATACAGTTATAAATTATAAAAGAAGTATAAATATAAAATATACTAATATAATTAATATTATAAAATGCTATTATAAATATTGAAGTTAGCATGTCTCAAGAAGTTAACACTTCTGATGGCAACATGTGTGCATTTTGAATATGAAATAAAACGGGTTAGCTAAAATCACGTTATTTCCTCTCAGTGCTTGTTTTCTTATTAAATCTATCGGTTCTGCAGTTTAGAAGAAAAAAACAAATAGAAAAGATTTACAAAAGTTAAAGCCTGTAAATGCTCTAGAGGTACAGTCAACCAACAACGTGCCAAAGCTCTACTCTAGCAGCTCGCCCTCATGTCCTTTTTTATTGAGTTTCTTTTCACCCTAAGACTTAAGGGAAACAGAGGGAGGCAACGACTTAGCAGGCCAGCAGCCTGAAGAAACAAGCTAAAAATCTCTTTCATTGCATCCCTGGCAGAGGTATTCCCTCAATGTAATGTAAGAATGGCAACTACCTCTTTGAAGATGCCTTGACACACCAACCTTCACAATGAGGGCAGGCAGATGTTACTGCTTGCGTTTCCTGTAACCTCTGTTTCTGTAATACTACGCAGCAAGTCAAGGTTCAAGTCATGAAGGCTTTAGAAAAAGATACTCTGAATGGACTCAGAGGAAAAGACACGTGGTTCTCCAGTAAAGAAGTGCTATTGCTGGCCATAAAAGCAAATTTTTGCAATTTACACAATGTTAAGAACAGACTTAAGACAGTCGAACAACGTACCTACATTACCTTTGGATTTTCCATATGGCTTATACAGTTTTGGGATGTTTTTTCTTGCTGGAAAATCATCTTGAGATATTGACATCAGTGGCCTCAGACTATTAGTATAATTAACCTAGATAAAACACAAGGTCAGAATGTCTGTTTTTAAACTAAAACCTTGAGCATTCAAACAAAAAAAAAAAAAGCAATTTCCCCATAGAAAGTTAGCAGAGTACTATTTTAGGTGACAGCAAACTCCATATGAATGACGTCTTGCTCTGTTCACTACTAACACACTGAAATAAAATTAAAAAAATTTTTTTTTCGTAAGAGGTGTGTCTCTGGAGAAGAGAATGAGGTGCCTGGGGACAATGACAATATCACCTGGTTCAAATTTCTATACTGCCCCACAACCTTCAACATCACCTGGCTAAAATATAAAACTGGTGTATATGCAACTCCTGTCTCTAGCTGGGGAATGCGGAACGGCAGGCTCAGCTACCGCCTGAGATTAAATGACAATAATTTTTAACTACCTCATGAGAACTGCAGTTTATGCACGTGTCAGAATGTGGCACGAATAGGAAATACAAGAACCAAAATACTGCAAAGCCCACATCGGCCACTGTTAATTCAGCTTGCTTTCAGCCAGCCTCCAGCCCCTTCCTTTTTGTGAATCTTTTTCAAAACCCTCTCCTATTTTCAGTTCCAGCATAATTCATTAGGTTTTAAATGATTTCGAGAGAATCCAGACTGGGCACTTGCATGCTTCCTTTATTGTTTTCAAAAGAGTTCAGTCTGAATTTAAATGAAAAAGGCCTTTAAACTTGTCCAGAAGCATTCTGTATTTTTCAGCACATGCCATGATGTGAACAGCAAAAAGATTAATTTACTTACTGCTGCTTTCTTTTCACAAAACAACTTCAAAGCTTCTGTAAGTTCCTGCGTAATGTGAACAACGAGTGTTGCTTCTGAGTCTGAGGTGATGTGAAAAGTCTCCTGTTGAAAAATACAGTAAGAATTGCTAGCTCATTAGGATGCCAAAGGGTCACCTACACAAACAGACCAGCTATACTTTGATTTTGGTGTAACCAAAGTAGTTACACTATTGGTTTATATATAACACATACACATATACATCCATACACACACACATCCATGAAAAAATAAAATCATGAACATAATTATGGCCTAGTAAGAGGTAAGACATCATCCTTGGTTCTGTGGCAATCCCATACTGTCAATCATGAACATTCTGTGGCAGATGGAGAAAGGCACAAGTCCTAAATCTATGTTGTCTGTGTAGAAAACTGAATAAAAAGTCATCTTGAGCAGCTTCATCAAATGGCTTTGATTCCCTAATTTTAGCAACAATAAGATGAAAGTTGTTACTATAATATCCTAATGTATAATATTGGGAACCTGAGATATCAAAATACATTAATATATCTATATAAACACAGAACAGCTCTGTTTACCTGTCTTTTTAATGTCCAATCAGAAGGAGTAGTAAGTATATGAAGTTACAAGTGATTACAGAAAGTAACAAGAATATAGAGTAGTCTTATGCCACAAGGAGTAGATGTGATACCTCTTCATTAGACAGAAGCCAGTAACTGTCTACCAAGCATTTTTGGTAGTTTACTGATTATCCCTAGATTGTTTTTTCTGTACCTTTTCCTAATAACTACAGACTAAAAGATTAAAAAAAAAGACTGAAAGAGAAAAAACATTCTTCAGCTGGTAATGAAGCACACATCTCACGACAGTCTACTTGTGATTTCAGAGTAGAAACAAGCAATTCAGACTCAGAATGAAATGTTGTAATTGCTTTAGGTACAGTATTCAAGAGAACAAGACTTTGATGGAATAAAAAGGCAAAGATACATGGTCAGATATTTCCACAACATGAGCCTAAAAGGCAAAACAAGGTTTATTACGCCACTGACAACAGCAACAGAACAGATAAAACTTCTCCACCCCAATATCAACAACTGTGCTCTATTATCACTCAGTTTCACTTGGCTGTCCAGTTCTGCAGCAGCAGCACTGGCCACAGCACCACAGGCAGCAAGAACCGGCTGGCTCAGGTCCTTCACCAACCCTAGGAAGTAGACACGGGCAGCCAACAGCACTTGAGCAACATCAGTACTGCTAATGCTGCTTGTCGGGGTGGCTCCTCAGCAAAGGGAAGAGTGATCCAGAGAACAGAGGGAGAGCTCAGATTTAATCCAGCATGCTGTTCTCAGCCAAAGTTAAGCTACAGCTGCTCTAGCTTTTCCAAGAGCAAAGTCCACCAAAATGTACCTTAGAAATGAATGCTGTGGTCAGATGAGTTTGAGCAGTAATCAACGGCTCCTTCACAATATTCGCTGATTCACACAGTGAAACCCCACAACTGTTCAGACTTACCAAATTCTTACTCTACATACGTACCAAGAACTCTAAAGCTTTCTGCTTCCGAACAGGATCATTCTGTGGGATTGGGGAAGAAAAAATTACAAGATTGAACTCCACAGCATTTGTTGCACCATCTTGTACAAAACAAGATGCTTAACAACAAAAGTCAACCCAAATGAAAGATGGTATTTGTAGGTCACAGCTGCAAACACGTAACATTAAGCCTCAACAGCCCAGTGCTGCTCAAGACAGACACTAGAGAGATCATTTAAGGTTTAACCTCTGAATTAGAAAAAAATAGATCATAAATCTTAGATGTAAGATTTAAACCAAACCTTCACCTCTGATCTAAAGAGGGGCAAGGCAGTGGAGACTGCAGCATAGCTTGGGAGATTTGGCCTACAGCCACTGAGCTTCAGACTTGGTGATTTTAAACAGTAATTATGTGAGCTAAGGTGGGTCAGCATCCTGGCATATGGTATTTATTCCCCTTGTGCTGTGATGAACATAAAACTCTGGTCGTTAGGTCAGTTATTTTGCTTCTGGACTAATATTAGTAAAATGGCAAAAAAGCAAAAAAAGCAAAAAAGCCAAAGAGTAAAAGCTTTTCAGAAAAAAAAAAAGAAAGCAAAACAAATGTAAGGAAACTGATAAAATACAAGGCACTTACAGAATCACTACCTCTACATACCTCATGCTTATGATCATCTTCCCACCTTAAAAAGAAAGAAATAGAAATATTAAGATGCATTCTAAAGATTACTAAAAAGTTAAGCTTCCTTTTTGTATCAAGGATCAAAATATTTACATTTCCAAATTTATCTAACTTACCAATACAGGATATATTTTTCTACAGCACATCTAAAGTATTGTATTTCTTAAAGATCTTTACTCTGGATCTCAGAAAACAACAGTAGTACTGATGAACTTTACACATCAGCTAAAGAAGATGACATAAGTAAAAGTAATGGTGTTTTTTTCCTTCCTAAATGAACAGGGGTGCCTTTTCTACAATTTAGGCAATGGCATCCCAGAGAAAGTGGTAACACCTTGAAGTTTGAATCGCAGTGTCTTTGTGCATCAGACTGTTACTGAACTGCATAACCAGTAAAATATTTCAAAAGTCATAGCTACTTATAAACTGAGCATCGAATTTTATTTCAGGTTACTTCCTCACAGGCAGAAAGCAACACTTTACACAAAATGAAGAACTACAGTGGAAAGACACCACATTTTCCCCATATTTGACAACGTTTGTTACAGATCTGGTTAGTAAGTAAAGTGATCTCGTTAAAAAAATCCCTTTCGATTCCCTGTGGAGGTTGTATTCTCACCTTGCTTTCTTCTTTGATGGGGCTAGAAAATTAAAAAGAACGATTAGCACCAACATAGGGTTTCCACCGTATTACTACAATAAAAGCACTACACAAACCCAATTGTTATTGTCCCTAAAGTGGCTGCAGTGTTTTAAAGGACTAATAATCTTTCTTGCCAGCACAGTCTATAAGGATGAGGAAGGAGGGAAAGCTCAGTAAAACAAGGTAGTCTGTTTAAGGCAGTAGCTGTGCCTCAGAGAGTCAGCTACTGCATCATACGTAACTTCACATTTCTTAAGGTGTTCCAGGATAAGCAACAGGACAAGTTATCATTCTTACGATAAATGATGCATTTGCCCCTACAATACATAGCTGAAAGACTCATGTTACTGCCTTCTGACCACCTGCTGTTGAACAAATACTGATGAGCTACAACAAGAATTAACTGTAAGATGAGGACGCTGAACACTAGAATCATTTTCCCAGACTTATGCAATTTATGCTATCTTTTCAGTAAGCCTACACTTGTTCTTTCCCTGCGTGCCTTCAGATCTGGTTTCTTCTCTGCAGCCATATTTTTGGTACAAAAAGACAGTAATTAGATCACATCTTTAGCTGCTGCCTTCTCCACATTATCAAACCAGCTCCCTGAAGCTGTTCTCCACATTATCTGAACCAGTCCTTGCATGATCTTTGTAGCTGGTGAGTCCTCTGCTGTTTCACCACAAATTCACCAAAGTTTCTCATGTCTACAGGACACTGTTCCAGAAGTGGCCTAATGAGTTCTGAGAAGAAGGGAATAAACACTTGCTATTATCTCTTAATAACGCAGTCCAGCATGCTGTTAGCCTTCATTACACCACGAGTGCATTGCTGATCTGTGTTCCTATCGTGGTACATCAAACCCTGCAGGTTCTTACGATCTGCTCCCTAGCCCACCAGCATCCAGGTTGTATCCAGCAGGGTGTTGCTCCATCCCAAATGTAAGGCTTCACATGTGCTTCTGTCAAACTTCAGATTTCTGACAGCCCATTTCACCAGGTTTCTGAGACCCCTCTGCAAGGCAGCTTTGCTCTACCACATACCAGGCATTGCCCTCAGTTGATGTCACCTGCAAATCTGACAATGGTGTATTCTATCCCATTATCCAGGTTGTTAATGAGCATGTTAAACATTGCTGGCACCGGGATCAACCACTGGGGAGTGCCACTAGCAAGCAATCAGCACGCTTTAAATCACAGACAACTGCTTTTTGAATCCTGAATAACCTGAGATCAGCCTCCTTTTATCCACGGTGTAGTCTTATCGTATCTCCTCAATTTGGCTACAAGAACTGTTGACTAAGACTGTTTTGAGAGCTTTGCTGTAGATAAAATGACATCCATCCCTCCTTCCATGTCCACAGAGCCAGCCCATGCTGTTGCAAAAGGCAATCGTCAAGCTCAGTTTCTCCTTGGTAAATCCACACTGGTTGTTCCCAGTCACCTTCTTGACCTTTACACACCAGTAAATGATGTCCATAAGGCCCTGCACCATCATTTTTATAAGGTCTGGGTCAGCCTGTAGCCACACACTGTACTTTTAAAGCTAAGCATATTTGTCTGTTGTTTTTTTTCAGGTCACCAAAGAGCTCCTCTGATCACCACGACCTCAGAGACATTGGACAGCAGCTCCCTCAACACCAGAAGCACCCCATTTCGTCCCATGGACTTGCACATGCTCCATTTGCCATTCCCTAAAGTGACCCTTCTCTACAGTGTGGGTAATGCCATGGTCCCCTAGACTTTACAGCTGTGCACGAAGCCCTCAGAGCAGACTTTGTCAGTAAAGATGAAGCCAAAGAGAGCAATAAATAACTCAGCCTTTTCCATGTTCTTTATCGCTAGGTTACTTGCTCTGTTCACAGCAGGCCACATCTTTTGCTGCCGTCAGACACGCTGAAGCCTTCCTTTTGACCTCCAGATTCCTTTCACCTCCAAACAAGCTTCACCTTCTTAATTCCACCCCAAACTCATCTGGAATGCCTATACAGTTGTTCGTGTCAGCCTGCCTCTGATTCTGTGTGCTTCCTCTTAGCATTTAAGATCAGTTAGGAGTTCTCTGTTCAGCCACACCAGCCACCTGTTATGCCTCTCTATATTCTCACATTGCAGAACGGATCGTCTCTTTTCCTTAGAAGGTTCTCCTTGAAGACTGATTATCTCTTTCGGGTGTCTTTTCCTTTGAAGGCAGTCTCTCAAGGGATGCTGGATCAGTTTTCTGAAGATGAAGACTGTTCTCCTGAAGCCCCTGGTCATTAATCTAGTACTTGGCTTCCTCATTCCCCTGAGGATTTTAAACTGTCATGTCATGATCTGCCTATGGATAACCTGTTCCAGTGCTGTACTGCCCTCTAGGAAAGAAGTTTTTTCCTAAAGCCTTTCAAAATGCCACTTGCGGCTGCAATCTTGTTACATTGCCTGCAATTACCAACCACTTTGTCATCTTTGTAGCAGCCTACACATACTTGAAGGGCAGTTCCCAGATCACCCCTTATCCTCTTCTTTCCCATCTAAACAAACCTCTAATCCTTTTCCTAGGTACATGCTCTGACCCGAGTACCTCCACAGCCCTCTTCTCCAATTTCTCCATCTTCCCCTTGACATAGAGGGAATAAAATTGGATGCAGTATTCTAAGTTTGGCCTTCCCAGTATCAAATAACAGGGAATACGAATGTTCACCAGTCTGTTGCCTGTGCCCACCTGCAGTGTCACAACATGAGATTTGCCTTATGTGAAATGAAAGCAGTCTCATTTGGCTCATATTCAGCTTGGCACCCACCACAGCCACCAACACCTTTTTAGCTGACTGCAGTCTGTCATTTCCTACCCTGTACTGATGCATGGAGTTATCACTTCCCCACTAAAGATACAGACAAGATTCTCCACTCATCTGCTCTAATTTCAAGCAAGGAATAACTCAGTAAATCTGTTGACTTCTTTCCAGTTTCCAGTTGTATTCTGTTGTAGCATTAATAGTTGTTTTTAGGAAGAAAAAAATGATGCAGGCAGAATTCAGATTAAATTAGATCAGAAATTCAAGTGCTATAGTACTACATTGTGCTCATGCATACCCTCATACTTCTTAAAAGAATGTTATAAGGCTTTCAGGCTCATCAACTCTCTACCTTGAGTAACAGAGTACAGGAATTATCTTAAAATGATGGCATCTTCAATTTGAAGCTCAAAACAAAATACAGATAATCTTTCTTTAGAAAATAAAGAAAATTTTCATTGAAAAAGAGCAACAAACCAATCCTTCCAAGGCATCTCATATATATATATATATATATAGGGATACATAACCCTATCTTGGTTTTCCATATGATCTCTGCAGCTGCCAAAATTTGGTGTTAATGTCTGTTTTGTCACTGACAAAGTAGTACATGCCACCAGATGGCATCACCTAATTACATCCTCAATCTCACTCTTGCTGGTAGAAGGGAACTTTGAAGCTAGAAGTTATTCTTTGACAATACAATCTACTCTAAACACACAGAGCTGCTAAACCAATAAGCATGATTCCCTTCTAAATAAGTAGAGTGGTTTTATTTTCGAATGAACTTGCTATTGTCTTTACCACCTAACCAAAGCAGAATTTAATATTGTACAGCACAACACTTCACTCACTTAAGCCAGTTAACTCTTCTCTGTTCACTGAAGTTCTTCATATTCTGTAGGATCCCGTTTTGTTGTTGTTGTTTGTTTTGTTTTGGGTGTTTTGGTTTGATACCTGATCATCTCTTTTCGGTCTTACAGAAGTCAGCAGACACTGATGTCAAGTACTATGAAGTCCATTCCACTTTCCTCAGGTTACAATGCGGCCTGCCTGAAAATGATTTTGCCCCTATATTGCCCCTCTCAATCACTAGGAATCTGGATTATCTTTTCTCTGAAATTTTAAAAATCTTTATGGATTATTCTAGAAGATGAACTTTCAGTACTACACCTTCTACATTATTGAGGACTTCCACATTATAAAGAAGAAAAGGAACATAGTTTCCGTAAGATTCCCATATCAAGACAAGATATTAACAATGTTCATCCAGATTCACACACAGAAAGGTAGTTAGGTCTCACAGGACACCTTGCTAAAAAGCCAGGATTCTGGTCACAGTCCCTCTCCTTCACAAGAGACAGAGAATTTCTTCAGGTTGGCATTAGTAAGCACCATTGTACATCTACAGTAACAAAAGATGACCCAACCATCCTGTATGGAGCGAGGATGCTGCTTTTATGTTGGGGTTTGGTTTCCATTGTTCATTCCAATGAACTTGCTAAAGAACTATGACTTCTACTTTCATCAGTGATTCAGAACCAACTTTTATGTCTTTTAATGACTGAAATGAGTTGGAGGCTTTACAAGCTTATTCAGAGGAACACTGTATTTCTATACTATTTCATTTTCCTTCATTAGCAAATTACTGTAGTTATCTAAAATACCTCCAGAAGCAACCAGTTATAAAAACATCTAAGAAATATTGCAAGCCTGACAATTCCTTCCTTTCCTCATTTCAAATTCACAAAAACTGGAAAATCTCTGAAAACAAAACATCTTGTAGTATTACGTACAAGTTTGATATTTTAAATCAGTCAAATGCTTTGAGTTCAACTACTCATTCAAATTAGGCCAGTTTGGGCTGTCAAATATAATATATTCAAGTAATTCATAAACTTACATGAGGTACTTGGTCTTATGTAACCTTCAATCTAGGAAACAGACATAGATTTTTATTAGATTTTCTGATTAAAATTTTATACCAACAGTCCCTACCGCAACTGTCTCTAGAGATAGAACAAGTACTTTTATTTGTCCTAAAGTAGTATAGCCCATAATTTTATAGATTATATATAATCTTAACAATATAAATGAAATTTGAGAAAATGCAAGTTATATAAATTAAAAGTCATTGAAGTAAAGCACTAAAATCTCTGAAACGTTTAATTCTGCCAGGATATTTTCTATCTTAGAAAAAAAAAAAAAAAAAAAAAAAACACAACTTTTTAAAAATAAACAGGAATTTCAATTCTGCTGTTCTTTTCCCCAGATTTTTTAGGGTGACTTTAACTTAAGTCTTAGTTCTATTTAACACTACATTTCCTAGATGCACACAGGAATTTAACAATATTTGTCAGCAATACTTTTAACTTAGTAGGTCAAACATAAATGCACTGATAAAATATACATTATTCAATACTTTATATTTACTTCCAACTACCTTATACATTTTTAATCCTTCGGACTTCTCTAGCTCTCCTGCTATTCTTCTGAGAAATGAGACTTTGCATTCTTTTACATCTGTTGTCTTTCTCTTCATTTTATCTGGAAATTCTTTAGACTATTGAGAAAAAAATGGCTTTAGATGAGCAACACCAAAATTAATTTAACCTTAAAAAGTTGTCACATTTCACTTTTTCAACAAGCTTTCAAAAGACTAGCAAACATTGTTTTGAACATTAGGAAGTAGTTTTGTTTCGGTAGCACCACTAGTTAAAAGTTAATGTTCAAATCATAAATTCAGATGCTACATGAAGTTCACTACTGAAAGGTAACATCTTTTGTGCAATATCCAAGAAGGCCATGGGCATAATGAGGAATGAGAGAGAACCAACGCCCAAGAACCTGATCCTGGATGAGATTAAAATACTTAGGAAAAGACTTTGAGCAGATACTGACTGGATCAGCAGACCCCTGGATCTCGTTTCCTCGGTAGCTCACAGCTTTATAGCTCTTTATCTTGATCAAACTCATGAAGAATCAATCATACAATTATTAGTGACTTATCATATGGTGGTTTAAACTTCAAACTTTATGTAGGTATTCATATAGAAATAAAGGATAGCATCTTAGAGAAATTGTGATCAAAACGTAATATGGATATATTACTCACTATGTATGCTCTCCTGTGTTTATACCCGCTGAGATGTTCTATCATGGGTGCCATCTCTGTATTAAACCCACACAGCTTGCATTCATAATGCGGCTCTTTTCTTCCTTCAAATCTGATCTCAACCACATGTTCTAAACCTGTAAAACAAGAGTTACAAACATCTATACTTACAACAGACTACTATAAACAAAAGTATTCTCTTCAAGATGGCTCACTAAAAGCCAAAAATAACAAAGAGAGTATTCCATTTTCAGAATTTCAACACTTATTCAGGGTCACAAAAATCAGATTTATTATCAACAACAGTTAAACTTCTCTCTTTACAGTGCTTTATTCTGAAGGGGAAAAATTGTCTATAGCAGATTTGCAGGCTCAATAGAACAAAATCCTTCATTTATCTACTTTTTCACCCAGGATATCTTTAAGAAACCAAAAAAGAACATTCCATTCAATACAGTCATGTAAGACAATGGAGAAGTGTCAGTCAAAAAGAAAATGAGGATAGGAAATGCCACACAAGCATCTGTATTAAAAGATCCCATTTAAACTACTTAGTCAAACATAATTTGGACAGCATTTGAGTAGTGCAAAGTGCATGCAGAAAGAACAATAATTCCTTCACAAAACTGGGTCCTTCATTATCCAAAATATTCCATAAACTTTTAAGAATTAACAGGAAATAAAACAGATTTTCTTAATTTCTTTCCTAGAAATGACTGGAAGACTATGGATACATTGAAAAATCTAAGTTTCATGATACGGAATGTCCTCCTTGGCCAGCTTGAGTCCGCTGTCCTGAGTGTGTCCCCTCCCCATCTCTTGCTCATCTCCTGCCTACTCGAGGGACCCAGGCTGAGAAGAAGAAGAAGCCTTGATACTGTGCACTGCTCGGCAACAGCCAAAACACCGGTGTGTTACCAACACTGTTTTAGTCACAAATCCAAAAAAGCACCATCCAGGATGCTATGAAGAAAGTTAACTATCTCAGACCCACTACTGCATGATACTGTTAGATCTTAACTCCAAAAAGTAAATTATCAGCATTTTTTCTCTTTATCAGGGAACATATTTCTCTAGGCCACCATCATATACTAGCAACACTAAAGCCACTGACCATCAGCACCAGTACGTGTTGAAGTAGCTTTGCAGAAAAGGGCCCAGGGGGATACCAAATTGAATGTGAGCCAGCCTTGTGGAAAAGAGGGTAAACAGTACCCTGGGCTGCACGAGGAGCATCACCAACAGGCGAGGTCCATCCTCTCCACTCAGCACCGGTAATGCTACACATGGAGTAGTGCGTCCAGTTCTGGGCTCCCCCTTACAAGAGGGGGATGGACATACTGGAGAGAATCTAGCAAAGTGGCACAAAGATGATGAAGGGACATGAGCACCTCTCATATGAAGAAAGGCTGAGAGAGCTGGGACTGTTCAGCCTGAAAAGAGAAGGCCCAGGCATCAACCTCAGTGTGTATAAATTACATGTGAAGGGACAGTCAAAGACAGAGCCAGGCTCTTTTCAGCAGTGCCCAGCGACAGGACAATAGGCAATAGGCACAAACTGAAACACGGGGGGTGACATCTGAACGTAAGGAAATGCTTTCTCACTGGGAGCATGCCTGAGTACTGGAACAGATTCTCTGTGGAGTTGTGGAGTCTCCATCCCTGGAGCTATTCCAAAGCCATCTGGACACAGTCTTAGGTAACCTGCTCAGTGATCCTACTTGAGCAGGGCATGTGGACCACAGGCCTTCCAGAGGTTCCTTCCAACCCCAACCATTCTGTGAAAACCATCTTTATAGAGATGGTTTCTTCAGGAACAAGTTATCTTATGATTAAGGTGTACAGAAGAGGTGGCCTTTACAGTGGTCGCATAATAGGCTCAATTTTAAAAGGTATAATATGTAAGATAAATTCTATTAATTATCCGACATCAGTTACAAAAAATGAAACAATATTTAAAATATCACTTTTTATTTCAAAACAAAGGAAAGCTATTTGGTTACAAATTCAAAGACATACCATTTAGAAGAAAAAAACATACCAACTAGAGGTTCTTCTCTTTTGGGATCATTCATAAAATCCTTCAGACAGGTTATGTCCTTTGTGAGTCCTCTCTTCACTGAGATAAAAAAATACACAAAGTAGGTCAATACACTAAAATGACCAAATACGTTAGACAGGTTGCACATAATTTCTGATGTTAAAGGAATTCCTAGTGGGACTTAAGGAGGACAAAATTAACTTGCAATCTGAAATGAGCAAGCAAAATGGCTAGGATCTCAATCACTCGCAAGAAGATTCCAGCACTACATTTTCCATAACATTTTTACATACAAGGAATTAATGTCTTCGAGAGAATCATAGGAATAAAAGAGATCTTCTAGCAGATTCCAATTTACTGATTTTAAAGTTTTTACACTGTCTTTAAACTCTTTTAAAAGAGTCAACTCAGAGCACCAGCTACATCTATCTGCAAAACCAAAGGCACTAAATGTATTTAAGTGTTAGCCATTATAAAAGAGCATGCTGAAGTGTTAAAATATGTGGTTTTTATGTTTTTAATCTGAGAAAAGTGTGGAAATAGAACTCATCTTCCTAACTGCATACACATGTATTTTAACCTAGTAGTGAATTTCCTGAGAAGTCATAAACTCTGCTAGTTTCTTCAAACCTGAGCAAACGGAAGTGGAAATACAATAGGCACTGAACAATATGTTATTGTCTTCTGTCATTCTAGAGTAGCAGGTTACAGTTTAAAAATAAATAAATAAAAAACATTTCATGAGGATAACAAATTCTATGCCTGTTAAATATTCGTTCAGTAGGAGCAATTTTTTGCTGCAATCAAGACAAATTCTAGTGCTGCACACAAAAAATACTTCATGAGGTGCCAGCACTTAATTTATAAAGAATACCTGTTGTAACTTTCTACTTGGTGTGGTAGAAAACACCTGATGGGATACCTCCTGCCATGGGATAGCATGGCCCAAACCCACTAAAACTTTACAAGTCTTTTTAAAAGTTTGTGTTTGTTTTTTTTTGTTGTTGTTGTGGTTTTGTCCGAAGTGACATGCAGCAGCAGCATAGTGTGACAAAGGTGCCACGTAACAAGTTGGTGCCATGTACTGAACATGTACACTGTACATGTCTGTACCAAGATTTCAGTGTGTTACAGAGCTATAATATATCTCCGTGCCTGTGTAGTAGCTCTCAGTGATTGACTTGTGATCTTTTAGGCTAAATCTGGAAAGAGTAAGGTTGAAAAAAGTTAAAGGCCTTTAAAAGGCAGTAGATGTTTTCTTCTTACTTCCCAACATGCAACTAGATATTGTCGTAGTGTTATCTTGATAAGAGATACGCCATACTGTTGTTGTTTTACATGCTTTTGTTCTGTTAAACTTGCACTGTATTGTACATGTACAGATGTATGCTACAAAGTTTTCAGCTAAAAATTTCATGAGCTAAAAAACATTAAATAGATTGGTGTCCAATTATCTGGAAGAAACACTGATGTCTCAAGTTTGAGTCTTTCAGTGAAAATATCTGTAACTTCATACCCTCCTAAGAACTTCCCTTAAATAAATTAACCTTCACACAAAAGAAAAGCAATGGTTCAAGTGTTTGGTAACTTGTATTGCTTCTGAGTAAACCATCATCAACAAAAAGCTTTGATCATCATTAACATAAAACTATCATTTTCAAAGGTGCATTTAAAAAGAAGGTTAGCTTATTTATATTCAGCTACCTGGTCTCTGTGTTTCATACTTCGTCGGAGTTCGGGCTGGAGCTGGAGGACCTAAGATGACAGTTTGACAGTCAGATCACTTCTCACATACTTTTATGAAGTACAGAGTAGATCATCCAAACACATTAAAGAACTGAACAGTTATCTTCATTGTGCAAGTTTAATATAGGCTCAGTGGTAACAGTATTTCATCTTGGTACACTTCCCTTCTTTAACTTTATTCCTCTAAGCAAGAAAAAGCCTTTGATTCCAACCACCTTCCCCACAATGTACCAAACATATAGGTGAGTATCACAGAAGCGTAGAGTATTCAATTTTAATTTCATTTTTAGTTGCTTTTCATACTGTTTATAGTTATTTTATTTTAGCTATTCATTGTTTTCTGTGACTAGAGGTCCAGTGGTATTGATGCCTGATAGACAAATCCTTATCTAAAGGTTTAGAGCCTTGGCACAGCCCTAGGTCATTAAATTTTATGCAGAACAGTAGTTTCTTTTACATAGGTATCTGTGTATATTCTTAACCACTCAGTTCCAGGGTGCAAGTTTGAACACGCTTCTGTAAACACGATTCTACTCCCTTCATTTGTAACTTCTTTCCCTTGCCCCTCTCTCCCTTAAATCCATACGCAGACGTATCCCAGGTGAGCTTTAACGATGCTCTAAGCATTTTGTAAATTGTGAAATCCAAGATTAAAACAAACTGATGTACCAGCATTTATTGAAAAATCTTAAAGTTATGTTAAGCTTAAAAAACATGAAAAATTAGACTATGTATTTGCTCACGCAATTCATATTTTTGAAGTGAAAAGATTTTCCATACTTATAGTAAATATATCCTGTATACAGCACTGGTTTCTTCCTCTTTCTGCATAAGATTAGCAGTGAAGAGATGCATATTAGAACTATATATCAGATCAAAGCTGCAAATATTCTGCAAACAGCTACACAATACTAACATAAGGGAGGGTTATAAGGAAACATGGCCTCTTTGGTTTCTCATAGTAAGATATCCACTTTTTTTCAGTAAAAAGCTTCAAAGCTTTCAAAGTAGCATAAATAAAAGTATCTGCAGGTACTTTACAAGTATGAAAACTACTTGTTTCCAGAGTTGTTCAGTTGTTCACACACAGCCTGAGTTAGATTCCAGGTCCAGCATCTGCAGTCTGACAACATGGCCAAACACCAAACAACACAAATGGGCACCTGCGGAGTCTGATTTTGTCATGCTTTAATTTGTTTACTTCCAGGACCATATTGTGTTTGCAGAGAATTGTGCCAGCAGCAGCTCACAGTGCAGCTTGCCATAATGTGGCTGAGGCTTACACATACAGTCAAGTTAAAAATCAACAGTTGTAGCTCCTACTACCACCAAAGATGTGTTTTTTTCTTTCCTTGTTTTCAAACATGTGCAGGCAGTTACAATAATGTCAATAACGTCTGCTAGGTTTCACGAAAGCAGTTATAATCCTGAAGATGCTCTCCCATGTGTTGATGCTAGTTTTAGATACTAGCATTTAAGCTTGATGTGTACAAGCTCCATGGCTTTGTAATTCTAGTAGCAAGGGGTTATTTCTTAACTATCTCAAAACCACAATACAGCAGTATTTTCCCTTAAAGCATACCAGGCTGCCAAATGAGTTGAAAATCAGCTGGACTGCCAGGATCAAAGGACAATGAGCAACAGCCCAGCCTCTTCCTGTTGTCCAGTAAGCTGCAGTGTAGCCCAGGGACCAGTTCCGGGGCTCACAACAATTAACCTCTTCATCAGTAACCTAGTTGAAGATGCACAGAAAACCCTCAGCAAGTCCACTGACAAGATGAATTCAGGGAATACAAAGAATTCAAAGATTTAGTTGAGCAGGATCTTGGGTGCACTGAGCCTTAAAGAAACTTTAAGGTAAGAAATAGAGTTCTACAGCTGCAGTAACCCCATGCACGAGCACAGGCTGAGCAGGTGAGAAGAACCTGATGCTTATGATGGATGTTAAGTTGGGTAGTGGCCAAAAGCAAGCCTGTTATAAACAAGAAAACCTCCTACTGGAAGCCTGCACAGGCAGCAAACTTCCAGGTAATTTATCCTCCTGCATTTGGTACTTATGAGGATGTCTGGTTTCGTGCCTCTCCCAGTTATAGTGCAATGTGGAAAAAAAAACATAGGGTCTAGGGGAAGGGCAGCAGACCTGAAGGTTAGACTGGGCTTTGTAGCTGACAGTCAGGTATTCTTAGGGGGAGATGGCAAAAGCATAATGAATAGCTACTTAGGAGGTTGAGATTTATTTTGTTAGGATAAAATTCTTCTTTAAAAGGAAGGCAGCAACTATGGACTGATTAAACAGAGGTAGAGGGCTCTGTCCTTGGAAGTGTTCAAGGCTTCTTACTGAAGCCTTGTGATGATCCTCCAGCACTGATGATTGAAGCAATTGATGATCCTCCAGCACTGGCAGTAGTCCTGCTTCAGTCAGGAAGTTAGATTCAATAGCTTCAGGAAATCCCTTCCAAATGAGGATTTTTAGGTAGATTATTAGTATCTGGAAAATACTCTGTGAACAAAAGCACCAGAACACTTCTCATTCCAATACTTAATATTTAATGACATGGGCCTGAATGCATTTCTTTGTACTCCACCTTTTGCATCTATTCCTGCATTTATAGTGCACACGCTCATTTTAACTGCCAAAATTAGAAGTGCTATGTCTCAAAACTTAACGACAGTTTCAGATATTGCCAATACAATTACTCACCAACAACAATGTAGTGGACTCAGCACAACAGATCCACTTTTGAAAACAAGGAGTGAAGTGCACAGTCTATACTCCATTGTACAGGGGGAAACTCCAAGAGAGGTGATAAAGCTGGACTAGCATTTAATCCTAGCACTTTATTATTTTGATGACTTCTGAAGTATTTTCTGTTCTAGTTTGAACTCAGAGAAGAACTTCCAAGTTCCCTTCCTTTGTAAGACCTTACATATATTAACTAGTGCTTGACAGATGCTGAGTAAGGAGAGGCATATTTAAGAAAATAAAACTTAAAGCATTTCAGCTTTGCAATAAGACTGATGGGATCAGTTTTCCATTTCTTAACTCAAGGAAGAATATGATTTGTGCTTTCACTCACTGGAGGAATAACTCCGCCGTGCTGTTAAAGTGCAGCTTATCTTCAGATCCGATTCTTCCCCTCAGCCCCATGCTTTACAGAATGATTATAATGAAGCTTTCTTTACTCACAACATGACTTAAAGGCTCAAAGTTGAAGAATGTAGAGGCAGGCTGCTAGATCCAACAGCTAAACACCTACAACATTCCTCTTTACATTTTTCAGAACCTTCTATGAGGAGAAGTCTTTGAGGAAGTGCTGCGAACTAACTCTGCACTTCCCTGTAATTCTAGAAGAATTCCACAGGCTGTACAAAAATTCCATTAATCCACTTTTTGTGGAAAGTTGTGGAAAAATGATCTCACCAATGCAGTCAGGCAGCCCACAAGTGACTTTAAAAGGGCTCATCTTCTATATTCCCCCTACTTTGTTCTAGTAGTAAGCCACTGGATTTCACTACTGCCTGGGGAGTGCTGCCAAACATGTTTAATTTCATTCCCCCACTGTTTAGTGCCTCTTGCTTAAAGCAAGAACAGTTTTCCGAACTTCTGCCTCCTCTGGCCAAAGAGAGGTAGCAATCTCCTTCCTTCCTGATGCCTGAACATACAAGTGCAACTGCCTCAACTAGAGCTAAAAGAAACCTTCCATCTGTTCAGTTACTGCTGTATGAAGAAATCACAACTGAACTTCATGTACTTACTGAGCTTTGATTTAACTTAGTCTTAAGACTTCAGTATCTTCCCTTCCCACATCATCCGCTGAGATTGTCTTCTAAACTTCTTGAAAGCAGGCAGATAAAGCACAACCAGAAACCAAGTTCTTGTCCCCACAAAAATAATTTGTTGATAGCTTTGCCATATGGAAACTTGAGTGATATCCAGATGTCTTTCTTACAAGAAAGTGGTACTCCTCCAAACACAAGCATCTGTAAACAGATGCATTTCCTGACTTCACTGACTTTAAAGGCAACAAGTTAAACAGTCATTAAGTCACACTCCCTACTGCTGGAAATACTCAGCATCCAAATAATTGTGGGTTTTGTTCCTGTAATTTTGGTTTGTGAATGATACCAGTACTGGTCTTGCTCTCCCTGATGAGAAAGGAATTATTTTTTTTTTTTTTAAATTCCACAGCAAGGAAGAAATTGCTTATACTGGTGTAATACATTTTAAGTATGCCAAGCCTCATCTTCTGAAGTACCCACTCTTCTTTGGACACTGCACATTTCAGATACCCGTCAGATTTTGCCCCAAGTGATTTCCAAGAAAACTCATCCTTCACTTTGACCATATCCTTACATTTTTGCTCCTTGTCCTTCAGAGTCCACCATGAACACGCTGCCACATTTCACTTTCACTGGGTTATTTGATAACAACCAAGGACCCAACAGCAATGAGAGCAACCCATGAGTTTATATCCTGAAGTGACACAGGACTCATACTTGACATAGTACATGTAAGTTAATAATATCTGTGCTTATTCAAAGTACTTCACTACATAACTCCATGAACTGTACACATTTGTTCACGCTTATTGCATGTCTGCAAAGTTAAAATGAAAACACAAAAGCCAACCACATTCTGAGTTTATTCTTATATCTCAATGACAGAACACCAATGGATTTCTTGAATCCAGTGACAAGGGATAATTGTGTCACTAGTGACACGTACAGAACTTCCCAAACCCTCCCACCAACAAATTTTAAGTAAATGATTGTGCACTGCGGTCCCCAGCATCAAAACTGGATTGCCATCTTTGAAAAGCTCCTGAAGTGGCAAGCTTTTTTACCTTAAACAAAAACCCCAACCTGCCCATCCCCAATAGAGAAGAAAACAAAACCACACACCCCCTGAAACATATAAATAAACTTTACAAAGCTATGTTTTGGCCTTCCTTGGACGAGTAAACCATGACAATGGCTTACAAGTTAGCTTCCCATGTCTGGATCTTCAGTGAAGTAGAATTCAAGATGGATAAAGCAGTATAACTACTCATGTCTCTGTTCTGTTGATTTCACATTACAAGTAGGAAGATGTCGATAGTTTCAACATGATCACTAAGATTCAGAACCATCTGGATGAAATAAAACAACTTACAAAGCTTCTGCCATGCAGTATCCTGTGATGCTGGGACTCCTCCAAAAGTTAACTCTAGCTTGTTTACCAAAGTTTCACATCAAGATTCTCCTCTTTAATAATTAGGAACTTGAACCTCTCTTCCAGTTCCATAAGACAGTCACAAGATTTTGACCTGTGACATTTCCGGGAATGCAGTGGTTGTAATGACCGTATGTTCTTACCCTGAAACTTCCCCGGAATGCTGAGCTTGCAGGACATGAAGCAGTATCATCTTCTAAAGCCGTAGGTCTTTGCAACAGACTCTTGTATTCCACTACTCTTTCTACTGTCTTGCTGCCATTCCTTCTGTCCTCTTTTTCAAATCTTAATTTCTGTCCCATTTGCTCTTTGCACCATTCCTCCCAGACAAGATGTTAGGGTCTTGAAGCAGTAACCTCTTCAGTGAAGAAATTTGCAAGATAATTCATCATTGGTACTACTTTTTATGACCATTTCCAATGAGGAATACCAAAAGAGGTGTAGGAACCCATTTTTAACTAGAAACATTAGCCTGTGGCCAAACAAATCTGTTGTTGCTGAGGTATAGATGCAATTCTAGACTGCTCATATCCGCTGGACACTGAAGAGACCTCTGTGCTTTCAGAACTCTTGCAGTTCTGAAAAGGAGCTGCATTACCAGTGCTTCTAAAAGCTGAAGATCTGCACGCAGTACTCACATCTGCTGGGGCAGAATGTCTCAGTTGATCACTTCAATCACATCTTGCACTGATATCCTGTTTTCAGCACTAAACCACCAGAGCAGCTAATAAAGCCCAGTCTCTTAGAAAATAGACCCTGACCAGTGCTTTTTCTGTGTTGTTCTTTCATGTTGATTCTCCAGGGTGCAGGTGGTGAGCTCAGCCTGCACCATTTTCCTCAGTAGAAGACTGACATCACTCTTCTCCGTGGAGATGTGCATTTTCAGGAACACTTGATTAACCTGGTTCAAGAGATACTGGGGAGCAAACAAAGCCAGAATGTGTTTCTGTAAGCCTTGTTTCTTAGAGCATGCAATGAAAATACAAACTAGAAATTAGAGGCTTATTTCTTGTGATGACTGACAGTAAGTCCCTCTTGCTTCATAATCTTCAAATTGTTTAAGCCATACTCCCATGTATGCCAGTGTTCTCTTGCTTGCAGCCCTTTCAAACTCTTGTGCATCAGCATTTTTACATCATTCCATGTCCACTGTGAGAAAGTTCTATCCCAAGTTTCCAGTCTTTTACCATTACTCTTATTTCCCATGGGCACATGACAGTCTGGATGCATGTTCTCAGCTTATGGGGATGAGACACCCCAACAACTCAGTTTACATTGAATAGGTCTTTGCTACTCCAAGTCCACACTACAATAAAGAAAGGCATAACATTCCCGTGATGCAGCTAGGCAAATTCAGCACAGGTAGAGCAGCAGCTGCAACAGTGTTATGTTAGCCTACACACACAGGTGCTTAGCATACTACCTGAAGCTTAGCAGTGAGTGCATAAAGCTGACAAACAAGTGGAAGACAGTTTAGCCTGGGAAGGTAAGAACTATACTGACTATGTATCCCTCTGCTAAATGATATATAAATATTTAGGAGTGGAAAGCATAATTAAAGCTTCATGCTCTAAAACATTTATTTAACTGTTCATTAGATAAAAATCTCAGGAGATCATTCAGCATATAAAGAGAAACACAGCTACAGACATAGATCTGGCAAATGCAAATAACTGAACTACTTGGAAAAGCAACACATTAAAACCCCCAAGCAATATCCATACTAAGAGGCTGGAAAGAATAAAGCATTATACTTACAATAGACAGTCTTGGGTCTCAGGGCTTTTTCTTTCTTTAATTATGAAGATGCAAGTCATCCCAAAATAAAATAAGAAAAAGAAATTAATGTGCTGCATGATTTGAAGGAAAAACCCCTGTACTTCCTGAATGAAGCCTCTGCAGACAAATTACAATACAGGCCAAAGTTTCCATTAGCAGATAGGAAAAATTAGAGCCTTTATGATTTTCTGCAAGAGCTGGAAGTACTGCCAAAAGTATTCTTACAGTTAAGGTTAATTTCAAGAAAGCCTTGGTATTAAGTTCTAAGAGATGATTATGGCTTGAAACATATCAAGGATGCCAGACAAAACTTTGGTTTTTGCATGGCTGCAGCTTGTAAAGTTCCTAAAGTTCAAAAAACCATAGTTCCAACAACAACCAAGAAAAAAAATGGAAAAATAAGCTAACAAAGAACAGTTCCACCACCATAGGGCGGATCTGGATAAACCTCCAGACAAGCCAAGTCTCCTGGAAGTTTATTCATATCATGAAGAACAGGAAAAGCAGCTTTCATCAGCTGAATTCAGGACAGATCACTTTTGGAAACATCTCAGAAAAATAATTTAGTTTTCCATTTCAAAAACCTGGCTAAAACCAATAGTGACGCATTTGGAGACCTTTCTGGCAAATAAACACGAACTTCCCATTTAAAAGAATGAGAAGTGTCATCCTTCTACCAGAAGGACAGTTGTTTGCTTCTGAGCACTTCACGGATTTGAGTGCTATATTTTCAGCATTCAGTGCTGTGGAAGAGATGTTGCAGGTCAGTGTAACAGTTCAGTAAGAGGTAAGACTGACACAATAGGTGTTTGTTCAGGAAACAAAACAGTTCTTCCACACTAGTTTTATAATGGAAGTCACCTAAGTGCCAGTATCATCACAGGTGAGTGGGTGGTGGTGTACGAACTCATCAGGATTTCGTAAGCTTGGAATACAGGCAGTCTGTCTGGTAGCTATCCTGCCAGGAGCATTTCTACTGTGTACAAAACCACCTGTCATTCTGCTCCAGTTTTACAATAAACAGCTGCTAATACCTAACATTTCACAGACATGCAGAAAACATCAGAAACTGTGAGCTGCCATTAAAAGACTTCCCGACCATTTTTAGACAATTCAGATTGCACTTGGATTACTGCTTTAATATTCAGAATGTTGTTCCACAGCTGAGACTGATACATCGACTTTACTTGTGATGTTTTCTGCTTATCTTTCAAGTGGTCTTAAGGGAAAAAAAAGCAAAACTACATCAGGAATAAAGATTCTCACACATTTGGTAAGAAACTTATTCTCTGCCCTGGGCCATGTGTCAGGAGCAAGTTACAACAGCTGTTTTTGAGCTAAGACTGTAAAAAGTTAGAGTAACTTTTAACAAAGTGTCTAACTTTGAGAAGCCACAACTCAAAAACTGCTGTCTCTCAGGGTTCAAACCTTCCATGTGCAGTTCTCCAAGAGCTACTTCTTAAATTACTTTTCACACACTTCAAGTTCACAAGTTATCTAACAAAACACTGTTTCATGGTTAGTTGTGTAAACATCATTTACTTCTTCCTAAATATCTGAAGTCACATAAACTAGATATTAGCAATCTATACACTGAAAGCATTTATTCTAATCATGTGAGGTTGACAATAATGTCAAGAGCTCTACATTTTAAACTAGTTTGGAACACGAGGATAAACTGCAGAACACAACAGCACACTAAACACTTGAGGCAGAAGATAATATAATGGCACAGCAAGTTTCCAGTACCTGAAACCTATGTTAGCACTTCAAGTATCAAAACAAGTGTCCAATTGAAATGTTCTTCCAAGCACAGGTGATTTTAATGCCATATCAAAGGACAGGTAATTGTCTGTATTTCAGATTTTCAACCACCATTTCAGACGTAAAACAATGTTTTCTGACCAGCTTACCATAATCACTGAAAGTAACATTCACCTGCTCTCAAACTACATTAATAACAAGCCAATTCCAATTTTCCAAGAGCTAACAGCTATATGAAAAATGCACGAATGCTATTGTTGATGTCAATCCCTCCCATACCCATTCAGCAACAACACCATGAAGCCCATCTGTATGCAGCTATGCAAAGATCACAAGGCACTCAACACAAAATATACACAGCCTTGTGTATACTGTGGCCATCCCAGTCTGTTTTTACATCAGTACTTCTTGCAGGATTCATAAATTAGGCCTCAAATTATCAGTACTAGAAAAATTAGATGTGTACACTGTATACTACTCTAAAACCCCAGCTCAAGGACACAAGCTGTCATCTTCATCAACACTGATATCAGGGAGAAATGCAAGCCCTTGGCACAACAACAAAAAAACACTCAAGAATAGAAACTAAGTGAACTCTACAGAGAAGTAGACCATACAGAATTAAGTTATGTAACATTTTGTAAATTAAGCAAAGATATGAGAACTTGCATGTTTGAGCTTCATATACCACTGAAATCAAACAAATAACTTGATCCTTCCCACTGATTTATTATTCAACTAAAGCAACTACTCAGACCTGTTAGGAAAAAGCTGCTACATCCTCACAGCAAAGTACAAGTGGAAAAGGCTTCAGATAAGAAAACTCCAATCCAGTAACAAACTGGAATGTCATTACAGACATTTACTCAGAAGACCTGAAAGTTGCTTCTACTTTTTTTGAAGTCATCCATTTTATTCCTACCCCTCCAAATCCATCACGCATCAGTCCAAGAGGTTATAGAGCATCTAGCCTGCAGAGACTAAAGACACAAGTAGAAATTCACCACCCACTCTTGTAAGAACACTGACTTGGCTTCACATACTAAGTTATTACCTTCCAATACAGGAAAAGGAATTCCACCAGGCTTTTGGTACAGGCTTACTCTATTGTAGTTTTGGATGCAACAAAGTATTATGGGTGAAAGTAAGAAGACCCTCTGAGTAGGATGCCTATACTGCCACAAAAGGACTGTGGTTTTCCTGTCTGCTACTTACATTTTCCCTTCCTGCAGCATTCCCTTTAATAGAAGCATTTACACTGTCAAACACCCAGACTGAGAATCAGTACAGAATCTTCCTAAAAATCTCAAAGTGATCAAAAGCAACATTCCTGGAGTCTTATTAAATAAGAAGTGGAGCGCACATGAACTAGATTTCAAAACAAGTCTTTATTATTTGTTTAGACAATGCTTACTAGTAAAAATCTCCCTAACTATACAAGCAGTGCATTCAATACCAGTCACCTTAGAGGCATGCTGAGATTTAGAAAGATGCTGCTTAAGCAACCAGAACATAAAATTCATTTGGAGTCAGCAGTACTGGTATACAGGTGAGCAAGCTGGTCAACAGAGAGGTGAAACATGGAAGTATGGAGAAGCAACCTAGATAAATGTCTCATGTATCTATCCAAGCCCCAGAATAACTAAATAACATGGTTAAGAAAAGACAAAAAACAGATGTACAGAGTCAACTGAAGTATCCCTAAAAATCTTTAAGAGTTAGGCTTCACTAGTGCAGCTGCTCAAAGTAATGTACTCTTCTTGGAAGAGCTATTGGAAATGCAGGCCAAGGAGATTCAGCTCACACGTGGCAAAGTGTTTCAATTTGTTTCTTGGATTTTTTCCTCCCACAGTGACTGTATTCCTAACAAAGCATTGTGTCATGTGTTCTTTAAAGTTTCTCTAGCAGTTGACAAAGTACCTTCACCACAGACATTTTAAAAATTGCTTATCTGAAAGTCATCTGACAGAAGTCAAAAAATAGCTGGTTTGGCTAGTGTTGTGATTTCAGTGGAGAATTACCTCTTTGTGTTGTCAGGACATCCTGTGGCATTACTCTGAACAATTTTGAATAATTACTCTGGTAAGGAACACAAAGCACTATTCTCTACCAACGTCTAGCCTGTATCTTAAAATGAAGAGAAGCTCAGGACTTTTATAGTTACTTCAGGCTTGGTGATACAAACACTTCTCTGGGCATCTCAAAGAATCCTGACTGTCTGCCATCAAAATATGTAGTGAAGCTGAAGCAAAGAATTAGAAGTAGTTGAAAACAATGATGGGATCTTGGAGACTTATTCCTACAGAAATGCTGTCATGTGATTTACCAGGACCCCACATGAGCACTAACAGTTAACCCCAAATAGCAGCCCAGTTTTCAACTTGCTCAGCATCAGTTCACGACCTATCATTAGCTCAATAAAGCTGAAAAACAGCCTAGCACACACTGATTTCCAGGAACAGAAGGCAAACAACATGCAGATTTGCAGAGAAAATTATCACTAGCTTTTCCAATTTAAAGGGGGAAAAACAGCAATAATTCGATTGCTATGAGGGTTAGCTAGGAAATAAAAAGCAGCAACCACAAAATCAGAAGACCTTCTTGCATCAGCAAGAGCATTTAGCAGGACATGAAAAATACTCAGTACTGTGCACTTCTATTGGACCACCGGAGAACTCTACAACTGAATCCTGGGAGAAGTGTTTGGAGAGTCACTGACTCGAAGAAGTATATGTCAGCAGTATTAAAGCAATCAGCAAGCACATAAGGACATACAATTAATCATTCTTGAAAACCAATTAGTGGGGAGATGCCCTTCATCTACAACTGAAAGAAAAGGGGCATTCAAATACTTAAAAACATTGCAGTTAGGCTTTGTAGTGTTCCAGGAAGAATAAAATTGAAGTGTCATTAGGAAAAAGAGCAGACATTTAAGTACCACACCACCACCATCTGATGACAGCAGTCCTAAGTAACAGGACAGAGCAGACAAATGAGTATGCCTCAACTTTTTAGACTGAGTGTGGAGTTTTATGAAGACAGCTATTAGCCAAACAACAGTCAAAAGTTCAGTCAAACAGCATTTGTAAAAGCTGTTTTTCTCAATACATCCTCCCAGAACACTCCAGTAGTTTAAGCAAAGTAAAGCAAAACACAAGGACAGGCAGTAAGCCAGGAAGCTGCTATTGAGATGCTCTAAACAAGTGAAACCATGGCTTGGTAGTTAAGGTTACACAGCTCCTGTACAAAGTGTTAGGATATAGTAACAGCTGTTCTAAGAGTACAAACTCCAGGCAAGCCAATTTTCTTCAAAGTACAAACAAATTCTGTAGACTTGGAAAATCAAGCAGTACTTTCATCAACTACCCCCCAAGTAGAAGTTTGTATTCTTTAAGCATCTGTGACTTCAGTGTAATTCAAGAAAAATCAGTTTCACAGTCAACAGAAGTTTACCTTCAGTTACTACTAATATTGCAAATTACATGCTGAACAGAACAGAGTTGACATGCCCACCACAAAGATCTTCTCCTTGGGAATTTAAGCAAACAATTATTACAGATGCACCAAGCAAGTTAGAGAAGCACTTAAATACGCACAAAAACAGGTACTGAACTTTGCAAGAATCCCAGATTTAACATTAAATTCACACATAGGCATAACATGGAAAAAGGTTACCTTTCTATGCTTTGCACCACGGTAGTGTGACTGAAGACTTATAGAACTCATACATGGAACTTTACAAACCTAGAAAGAGAAGTTGAAAGCACATCTTCAGTTATGCTGTGGGTATTTTGTAGCCAGCAAGTTGTATGAACTGGAAATAAACCCACTCCTACAGCAAGGTTTTCAAGATCTTCAATTTAAATAGTACAGTTTGCATGACATTAGGAGCAGAACACTGAAATGATCTGTTCAAACGGTACTTGAATGCATACTGAAATATAGCAGGTGGTGTAAGAGCCTACCCTTCCCCTCCTACCTCCACTTGCTGGATTCTTAGTTGCCTGAACTCCTCCAGCCAACAGAAAGGGATGATAATACATGATTAGAAAGGAATAGAAGCACAACTGTGTTCTAGAGTAACTGCAACCCTGTTCACTGTTATACTAACAGGATCATAAAAAGCATAGGCAGCCACATGCATTTCATTAGGATCCACAGAAAACCACAATAATCGAAGAGGACACAGATCTACAATTTTTACCAAGTTTAATTATCAAAAAGCAATGACTAATACAGGCTAGTATTGTCAGTGTTCTTGACATACTGCCCTATAGGTTTACTGCGCCAGAAAACAATTCAGTACTACCACAACACATGATATACGGAAACTTAAGTTCTGACACAGAGAAACATCTCTTTAAAAGCCTTTAAGGCCATAAGAAACAGCTAACAGAGATTTAAAAGACAGCAGCAGTTAAGAAACACTACACCTGCACCTACTCAAACACAGACTGCATTCACAACACCAGACAAGCTGTTCTTCCAGCAACTGGCCAAGTTACTCTCCAGCATTAACAGCTTCTCTCACAACCCTGCCACACTGCAGCTGGATTAGATCTGCCCAACCTCCTCGGAGCGTGATTTTTCATGCCTGAAGCCTGCGTCTCAGTACGCGTTCTGAAAAGCCCCCGAGAAGAGCACTCACTTCACAATAATATATTTTTTTCTCAGGTTCCGGCTTGGCATCTTCTGGCTTAACATCTTCAGTCACGGCGCTCATCCTGCAAAACCGGTTCAGCGCACACAATAAAAAAAAAAAAAAAGAAAAGCTACGATAAATATAAACACTGTTTAAAAGCCACGCTCCAGCGAACAATCGGGGCCGGGAGCCGTGCCTCGGTCGGACGAATCCGGTAAAGGAGAGAGTTGTTTTTTGCTTTTTTTTTTTAATTCCTTTCCCTCCCTCCCCGCGGTTATGGGAAATAAATAACGCCCTGCCCCACGGGGTCGCGCTCCTCGAAGAAAAATAAAAATAAATTAAAATAAAATGCTTAAAAAAAGGGGAAATAAAGGCAGGGGAGGACACGACGCGCCCCCCCGGGCTCCCTCCCTCCCGCTGAGGTACCTCAGCGGGCCGGCCCCGGCCGGTAACGACCCCCAACGGCCACCGGCACGGGCGTCACTTCCGCTTCCTGCCCGCGCACTTGAGGAGCGGCACGGGCACGGGCGCTGCCGGCGCGCGCCGCAGCCGTTTAACGGCCGAGCCGCCCGCCCCAGCCAATCAGAGCGCAGGGCGGCCCCGTTGCCGCCTCCCCCCCCCCCCCCCCCCAACCGTTCCCCTCAGCCCGCCCCGCCCGGCCCGTGAGGGGAGGGGGGGTGGGGTGAAGGGGCACAGATGCTCGTCAGGGCTTCGCTTTAAATGCAAATCTTTAGAATTCTCTTTATTTATTTCCGACTGTTTTAACTTTACACGCCCGCGGCTGGTAAATAAATGTAAAATATAATTTAAGAAATACACGGGAAAGGTCCCTCTAAAAGCAGACGGAGAAAACAGTACAAAAAAAAAAAGGACCAAAAAACAACACAAAAGTGCACCTGTTTTTAACAAAATTCCAGAATATAAAACCCACTTTTTTTTTTTTTTTTACTGCCTGCTTTTATTTATCCCGCTACAGATAGGTCTCGGAGTCTATGATAACTGTACACAAAGCAGCACAAAGTGCACAAAGTGGTAGGGGTCCCACCACGGGTTATCAAAAGTGTTTCCCTTCCTGGCTGTGATTCCTCAGGAGCCGTCCAATTTGCTTCCCCGAAGCGAGCGGTTAGGGTGTTGTGTGCCGAAATTTTCGCCAGCCTTAAAACTAAGCGGCGAGCCTGCCCAATTTGTGGGCAAACCACACGTTACGTGCACAAATCGGTAGGGTTTTGTGCCGTGTTTGTGCAGGTACGTTGTTCCCTTAATCTTTGGGATCGAGCAATACCCATTTTTCAGGTAAAAAAACAAACAAAACAGGTAGGCCAAAGATGCTGGCAGGTCTCCGTGCACTTTTTATTTAACCTTGTTCTCCACTGTTTTGGTTTAGGAAGTGCCATTTATTTTTCATAGCAGGCTTTGATACCGGGTTGTGCCCCCTTTTTTTGAGACAAATCGCATTATTTGTACTGATGATTTTCATGGGCATCTCTGTAACAGTCAGAAGCCTTGATACAAAGTCACATTAAACCCCTTGGTAATTCTTTGCAGTTCTGACCTCAGAACCTAAAAGGGACTCGCTGTACATTTTCAACAGTGCTTCCATACTCTTCTTTTTAAAAAATTACATATTAAAAGTGCAACTGCACAGTGAAAGAATAAATGCACATAGGAAAATAAAAGTAAAAAATAAAAAAAATATGAGAGGAGCAAAAAGGGAGAAAGCAGGCTCCTACATCTTTGAAAAGAGACCAGGTCTAAACGCAAAAGGAATTGGCGGTGTGTACTTACAGACTTAAACTGCTGGTGGTAGCTCACAGCTTCTTGGCAATAGAGCTGCCTGAATAGAGTACGATTCCCCAGCAAAGGGACTTTTTTTTCTATTTTATGAGATGTAATTACACTAAGACTTCTGCCAGTACCTTTGTCTTATTCAAAGGGAGCAAGGGAAGAAACAGGGCATTGCACTTCTGCATAACATTGTTCTTTTGGCAAAACTTTTAAAGTGTGCCTGAGTAAAAATAAAGCTACGGAGGCAGAAAGCAGAACGGGTGGAGGCTGCAAAGTACCGTCCTATAAAGTCACAAAGGTAGAAAAGCTAGAGGAAGAAAAAGGAGACGCTTTTTGATAGACACAGCTACCTTTAAGGACAAAAGTGTTCTTTGGCTTCATTAAGAACCTGGGAAGAGGTGAAGGAGTGTGAGGAAGAGCCCTTTCAGAAGAGGAAAGGAAGGCTGTTGGCCACGTAGAGGAAGAATCATCCAAACTATGATGAGAGAAGCAAGAAGACTTGATATGTTGCTGAGAACTGAGATAACTTGCATCTTTTTGGAATTATTTCTTAGAAAGACAAAAGTCAAAACGAAAACAAACTACAATGTTGCTGCTCGCCTCTTCTTATCTCAAATTTAAATCAACAAAGGAAGGATGCGGTGCAAAAGTTAAAAAGGAAGAAATTTGGTTCAGAAAGGAGAGTGATGGGAAAAGGAAGGGCGAGACCAAGGTGTGCCCTACAAGGGGGCAGAATGGTGGTGAAATTCCTGTGATGTGCTCCTGTGCAAAATGGAGATTTCTAGCCCAGAACTTTGTCTGATTTTTGAGATTTGAGATTTTTAATTAATTTTTTAATTAATTAAACGAAGGCTTCAAGCCTCCTAGAATGATGTTTTCAGTCTGACTGAGAGACACATGCTAGCACTGAATTACCTCAACCCAATTTCTTTTTTCAAGAAATTATGTTCAGGTTGAAGAGTAACAAATTCAGTTTTTCAGAAAAAATAAGGACATGATTCTGGAGTACAGAATTATTGATAGCAGGTAGAAAGTTAATGCTGTAGTCACAGAACACCTTGACAGTATGACATCATTCAGTGTGATCTTATTTCTCCCAAAAAATTGTCTTAATAATGTTGTTTTACTCTCCACCCAAACACTCACTCAAAGAAAGCCTTTGCTTAAGGCAAGTGTTTGAATAATGCATATGGAGGAGAGGAGGATTTATAACTAAATTCAAATTCAAATTAAAGAAACTGGATTCTATCTCAATTTATGTCTGGACATTTTTTAATTTGATAAAACCTGTAATATGATAAAATTCTATCAACATGCATTCAACATAAGCAGAAAAATTGCTGGTCATATATGACTTGCTTCAGATTTCAGGGTATCTGAGAACAGGTTTATATGAGCAAAGCCAATACAAATCTAAAAACTAAGAATATCAGTTCTGGGAAAATGTGGCCACTCAATTTAGAAAACATAGCTGATGGGGAAAAAAAAAGCAATGTGAAAAGTGAGAAGGAACGGGAGAAACAGGCATGGTACATTTTCAGGGGAAGAGAAAAAATATAATAGCTTTACAGGAGAATGTGTGTTTATATTGGCAAGGATATGTGTCATCTGTGTTCAGAGGTCTACTTGTCAGGATGGTAGGACATAAACTACTGGTAGTTCTCTTCCACGAGTTTTGTTCAGCTAAATAAAAGCCTTGTGACTACAGCCCGAGTGTGGCCACCTGCAGAGCTCCTTGTCTCACTGTGCTTGTTACAGAAGTCTGCTTCAATCATGACAAGTGATTTCACAGAGGATTTTTTCAAGGCTTAAGAGAGGGAGAAACTCCAGGGGAAGATCTTTTTTCTAGCGAGAGAACAGAATGAGAAGACAAGAAATAAAGGGCAAAGGCTCTAATATACCTCCATCATACTGAGTATGGGTTGCTTAGTTATATGACACTGAAAGAAAATGAATTAGGTGGGTTTTCTGACTACCTGAGCAACTTATTATTTCATAGGCAGGAGAAATGGTATCTTTTTACAATTTTAATTAAAATATCATACTCTGTTAAGACAAATTAATGGCTTTTGTGAAATAACTACCCTGGGTGAAATTGTCCTACGTAAGTTCCCATATGGCTTCAACAGGAGTTAAACCAGGCTTCCAGGCAGCAGAAGCTGATTTTATCCCACAGACTATTCCTTGCCTCAGGCTTGATGCCTTCCACTGAAGTATTTTAAGCATTATGAATTTCCAGGAGAATTGCACGTGCCCTGTCAATCTGAACACAGTACTGAGGATCATCAGCAAAAGTCTTTCTGAACTGGCTGACGCACAGATGTCAGGCCTCCCTATGCCATCCAGATGAGATTCAGTTCGAAGGATTTTAAGAATCCATCTCTATGTTCTAATGAAGGGCAATTAAAACATTACCGTATTACAGTCAAGTGGTAGGAAGCCTGTCAGTCCTACAAAGAGTTCAGATTCTCTTCAGATTCTCAAAAAAGCTCTGTTTGGGCATCCCAATCTAAAGGGAATATGAATTATTGATAGTGTTTTCTACAGCAGAAGTCTGCCCCAGTTTCAGCCACTGGTGTTAACAGCATCAGAAGCAGCAGGAAAATCCGCTCCATTTACCTCACAAGCTTAAAAACACCAGAATTAAGGAGTTTGTTCTCTCGCCAGCTCTGGAGAGTGTACGGCTGCAGTCTGAATGCTGTCATCAGTCAGGTGCTAGAAGGCATCAGGCACACACTGGGGAAAGAAAGGCATTTCTTTTGGCCTGGAAGCTGCAAGTTTGTGTCAAGCAAGCAGTTGAAGGGGCACTTGTTCTACAAGAAGAATTTTGTCGATGTCACGAGAAATGCATTGGGAGGCACCTAAAGCACAAGGGCACAGACCGTAGGGCTGTGCTTGGGGGTACAAGTACCCTTCATTGAGGATAAAAGCTGAATGCCACTGGATGAAAACATCCTGAACCCTACCTCTAAGCCTTTTTCATATGAGACCAGGAGTAACAAGTCAGTCAGAACATAAGTGAGACAAATTCAGGCATGATGCAGGGCATAAGTGTACATTACCTTGTATTTTTCATGGATTCAGACTTTGTGGAAGGGTAAGGAAGGAAACCTGACCACATTTGCACAGGGAGCAGTTAGGAGGTGACATCTCCTTTGAAGTGACACATTAGTTCGTCCTCCTAGAAGAAGGCCATTACACCTCATGTATCAGATCAACTTCTATGTGCAGAACCTTCATCTACCTTTGCAATGTGAATTAAGAGGAGTAAAATGTGACTGGATATGTTGGGAGCCTGAGGAAAGTAATCCCAGCCACAACAGACCAGAAGAGCCTGAGAGTAGATGAAGTTATGCCAACAAAATATCAATTTTTCTGTAACAGAAAGATCTTTAAGAGAACTTATGTTGTTAGCATAAGCTACTTCCACACTGGAGAGAGAAATTGGGCTGGAATAGTTCTCCTTTTGTAGTCATGCACAAATAACTACTTAGGAAGCACTTCTAAGCACAGACAAGGCATTCAGTGGCAAAGTCCTCTACAAAGTTGCAGCCGGTGTGACCATTTCTAGCTGTGCAAAATGGCATCAGCACTTCCAGATGAGGACAGTAGTGTTTTACAGTCAAGTTACATCGATCCAAATGAAGAGTCTCACTCGACGTGAGTACCCAGAATGATTGTGTGATTGGGCTTAATGTTATGTGAAGGGAATGGTGATTCACCAGAGCGTGGTGTAAATTCCACCCTTACAGCCTCACCTCTGAAAGGGGCCTGATGTTGCACTGTACCCACCGGTGAAAATACTAAGGCAAGGAGATCAAGACAGTCACAAGTGAGAGGCAGCACGTAGCCGACAGGGAGCTGATGAACCTCAGGCATAAATAGAGATGTTCTCCTGGCTTGAGTGTGGTCAGCTGGGTTACAGCAGATTTAACTTGAGCTGCAGCAGGACATTTTTGCCCCTCTTTCTCGCCCACTCTGCCCTCTCTGCGGTGAATACTGCCGTATGCAGGACAGCCATCAGAAGTTTAGTGAGTGTCTCCATCATTTCTGTGTAAAGTGCAGCATCTCAGATCAAACCGTTGTCCATAAGCATAGAAGTGACATGCGGAGAATGCACGTTGTTTACTGCTGCCAACTCTAACGTTCAGGCAGTGACTTCTACCAGATTTGGAGAAGAGCAGGCTCCCAGGTGCCACTCCTTGTGCAGAACCATCCCCTTACCTGAAAACTACACTTAGCCCATGTACACATAGCATCAGGGAGAAATTCATGCCACTTCGCTGGCATGTAAAGCCATGCCCTTAGTGGCTAGGAGGGATAAAGACAATATAATCATTTATAACATTTTGAAAAAGAAAACATTCATTATAGGGCTTCTTTCAGAAAGCACATATACATCTAAGCTTTTTTTTTATAATGATGATTTTTTTATATAATTGAAGGCGATATAAAGTTGAAATAGTGCAATTTTAAAACAAAAATTAGTGCAGGAGTCAAACTACAACAACAACAATAACCAAAACAGAGTTGTAGATTTGTTTTTTTAAAGTAGAAATAAATGACTGTCTGGGTTCAAAGGAAAGCATATGGATCTGTTTTCAAAAGCACTTTGGTGCATAAATCCAGTTGGCTCTCAGTGAGATTAAGATTTTCTTTTGGGGATGAAATGAGGTTGCTTTTGAACATAACATTTCTAATCTTTGCGTGGGATTCGATTTTTGATGTCAGGTGATGATGACTAACAAGCTGTTATCAGTCAAAGAGATACCATCAAAATTAAAAGTGCATTTCCTTTGTTAATGTTACAAGTGAGAGCAAGGAAAATAATTGGAGAAATATTTTCTTCTCACGTACGTTTAAAAGCCCTTTGTAGCTCATTTATGGAAGTGGATAACATCCCATTGTTCAGTCTTTCAAACAGCAACACGAAAGCCTGAAGGCTTTAAAATGGAAAAATATGTGTACTAAAACAGTCTTGTCAAGGAAACATGGGAAAAACCTCAGTTTGAAGTGAAATAACTTCTAATGCATTTTATGAATGCTGTTTTCTCTAAATTAATGCCATCCTTTTATGTTAAGAAGTTGGGTTTGGGAAGCCCTTGCCTGTTGTCATTAATTTAATGTTGAGATAAAGGAATAGCTGATGCTTCTTATTAGAGTGGCTAAAAATAAAACCAAAAAATCTCCAGAGGTAAACTTCTGGCCACACTGAACCATAAACATTTTGTCTTTCCACAAAGGCATCACTTCGGCTTGAGAGGAAAAAAAAAAAAGGAACAAAGGCAAGAAACAGAAATAGCTAGACCTTGTTACAGAACTGCAAACAAGAAAGGAAGGACAATGAAGACAAATTAGCAAGTACACCTGTGCAATAATAACTGATTATTTTTCTGTATCTGAGGTTTTATCTTTCTTTCTTTCCAGAGATCACTAAGAGAATGGCTGTGTGTAAAGGTGTGAGGGGGGGTATGCATCTGTGTCAAGTTTTTTTCCACACACAGAAGCACACACACACGCACGTACACACTTAAAATCTTTCCACTGGCTTTAAATTTTGGTAACTCATTTAACCCAACTGGAAGAGAATCTACAATTTCTTCTTGCCTGTAACATTATAAATATTCCCAATGCTATAAAATCTATTGTAAGAATGTACATTCAGTGGGTTTATGAGGCACAGGACCTGCTAATGTGTTTTCAGGGAAGCTCACATGTGCTCTGTTCTGTCCACTGCTGGACAACGGTGGGGAATCCAGGGGCTCACGCTTGATTGCTTGAACCAAGCAGGGGTTTTTATATTCACATGGCATTTTAAAAAACTCATTACTCTGCTCTTTCTCCTCCCCTGGACCGGGGCTGTAGAACTGGCCGTAGCACTCGGAGTGAGGCAGGTCAGGCAGGCTTTCCAAGCAGGTGGAGGAGTTCTGGGGGCAAAACGGGGCCACCTCTCTGTTACGCAAACCCTTGCAAGCTCTGTTCAGATTGAGGTTGCTGGGATGATTTGCTACGATGCATTGCCAGTTATGCGGCGTGTAAAGGCAGTGCCTCGGCTTCTGGCAAGGTGACGCTTGCTGACAGAGGTCCGGTTCTGTTTTAAGGTGCACCCTGTTGGGATAGCTGAACAGCTGCTTCCTTGCTGCGCCGTTGTCGTCCATCCAGGCTCGGTTTTGCGACGTCAGGTAGTTATCAGCGATGTTTTCCGAATCAGAATCGTATTCTGTTTTGATAGGCATATCCAAGGGAAACGCTGCATCATAGAGAGGCTCTGAGGATAGTAACGATCTCTGCAGTTTCAGGTGGTCTGTAGCGTAGCTCTCCACAGCGCGCTGCTGTAAGCCTGAGTAAGCCTGACAATTTTCTGCACTCCCCCAGTGGGAAGGACAAGTTGATGCTAAATTTAAGAAACTTTGGTCTCTGTTGTAGAATGACCCAGCTCTCCTGTTTGAACACACATTCATTCGCTGGTTCATAGAACAAGAGCCTGAGTTTCTTAAAGTCCAGCTGTTGTTTGTGGTGCAGTTGTTTTGAACGCCTAAAACTGATACATTGGAGCTGAGAGATTCCTCTTGCATGAAACACTCACCGTTTGTATGAGGCTCAAACTTCACTTTTATATTGTCTTGTTCATTTTTTACTGCTGTCCAGTTAAGATGCTTTAACTGGCCCAGGGTTTCAATGGCACTGTTATAGGAAAATCCGTCCAGGTTTCCTTTCAAACTGGCAAAACTGCTTGGTATCTTCAGTTGTTCATCTTCTTCCCTTTCAATAACAGCAGGAAAAAAAAAAAAAAGGTCAATAAGAGGTTCCTAAATGGATCTTTTCTGTGATACAAATGGAGTGGTTTGACATTTATTATGAGCCATATTTTGTCTTTAATTTAATATCTCCTACTCTTGTTCATATAAACTTTGTATTTGTTCAAGATAGAAAAGTGTTTACATGCATCTGGGCATCACTGTGTGCACAACTAGCTTTCTGTGGCACTGTTTCATTTAAATTAGGACACACATCTACTCAGGCACACAGTTCACAAAGACCTCAAATACTGTGGAACATTATGTGGGGTATATGGTAACTATCTTAAACTGCCATTATTCTGTTAAAATATATATAAACAATTTTTCTTGTGGAAAAAAAAAAAAAAAGTCTAGAGATAGAGTGCAAATAGCATGTTAGATGAGATGTATTTTGTCAGCAATGAATTATTACGACAGATGAGAGCTTTCTGATCAAAGTAATTTGAGCAAGAACTACGGGGGTCCTATATTTAAGAATGAATAATTGTCATTAGATGAAATAAAATGCCCAAGTAAGCGTCCAGAATAGTCACAGATGTTTATATTTGGCGTAGGTTTGTTTTACATGTCTAACTTAATTCATATTGCCTTTCATTTTCCAAGATGACCAGTGAATTCATTTTCAGTGACCCACAGATGAAATACTCAACATTATTGGAGTGTCCTGTCCTAGTGTTTCTGTACTTGATAAAACACTTCTCTGAACTCCAGGGTCAAGAATCTGCCTGGCATTCACAAATGTGCTAATTCCCAAACACGCAGAGTCCATGCTATGAATCTGCATTGCCAGAACAAGAAGTGGACATCGCATTAAGGAACAGAGCCTAAAAAAAAAACTGCATTGCTTTTCAGTAGGCTTTTTTCTTATCTTGCTATAGAAACTTTTTCCTTGGGTATGGACTCAATGTGCAAGTATAGGAATTTCCAGTAGAGGGAGTCCATGTTATTATAAAGAGAAAATGTCCCACTGTGATAAACACACACTGAGAACAGAGAGTATTTTATTTCTTTTTAAGTATTTTCAGCCCTTTGCTAAATATTATTATGGAGAGCCTTGAGACGCAAGTGGTACAATTAAAGTTTGCTGCAGAACTGACTCTCGGAAATAGTCTAATTGGGAAAATAGATTGGACAATATGCACGTAGTGACAAAAGCTTGGATTACAAAATCAAGAATTTTGCTATGGATGAGAGAAACTTCTCAAAAGAATATATGTTTCCAGGAAGACAGCATGCAATTTAACAAAAAGTAGTAGTAAGGATGAAAAAAACAGGCAGCATCTACTGCAGATGAGCAGGACAGAACTGAGTATCATCTGCAAAGCCAGCTCTTGTAACTCTTAACCCATAGGAACTATTAAGCAAAAATGAAGGTTTTTAACCACTAAAAGTAAAATGCAACCAAATCAACATCAAAGAAGTTGCTTAGTTACACAGAAAACAATTTAGAAGTAGAAACATGAATACAAGAAACAGGCACTTTTAATCTGCTCCTTAATAGAAGTTCATTCTCTTCTATGGCAAAATAGCATTTATCCCATCCCAGTAAAGGTAGAGTTCCACCACCTTCAGATGGGAGGTCCTCTGCTATTCACCTAGATCCTGGGAGGTATGCTGCCTGCCAGGGATATCTACTGTAGAAGTCCAAAGACTTTTTAAAATTTCTTCCACCTGCAAGGCATTCAAAAGGAAAAGAACAGAGATAGCGGACAAATGTGACCACAAGGCCAGATGGTGGCTGTGTAAATCTCTTGGCCCCTGCTCACACAATCCACTTTCTTATCTCTTCCCTCAGACTGGCTTGAAGAGATACCTCAACGAGGCCCACAGGAACTGGAACAGACAGTCCCACGGGGGAAGGAGGAAAAGCCGTTATGAGAGGAAAGGGGAAAACCCAGTGGAGAAATCCTCTTTGAATGCATGTCTGTGCGTATAGCTTCCATTCCAAGGCCGAGCCTACAGCCAGCTAAATGTTTCTATCTAGAAACATACAATGAATATGAGCATCCCTGTTTAGATTAGGTTTAACATCCACAACTAAAAACATGAACTCAACTGCCATCCACAAAGGAAAAAGAAAAGAAAAGAAAAGAAAAGAAAAGAAAAGAAAAGAAAAGAAAAGAAAGAAAAGAAAAGAAAAGAAAGAAAAGAAAAGAAAAGAAAAGAAAGAAAGAAAAGAAAGAAAAGAAAGAAAGAAAAGAAAAAGAAAAGAAAAGAAAGAAAAGAAAAGAAAAGAAAAGAAAAGAAAAGAAAAGAAAAGAAAAGAAAAGAAAAGAAAAGAAAAGAAAAGAAAAGAAAAGAAAAGAAAAGAAAAGAAAAGAAAAGAAAAGAAAAGAAAAGAAAAGAAAAGAAAAGAAAAAGAGAAGAAAAAGCTTAACATTATCAGATGTTAGGAAAAGTCAGGACACTAAATCATCAAAGACACTCAGTTGCAAAGTAAAACAAAACCCCCAAATACATTTTTGTGCAAGAAAGCCAAGGCATATTAATAATAAAACAGCTTCCTTTTGAAGTATTCTGTTTTAAGATGTATGTATGCTCAATTTCAGGAGGAAAAAATACTAAAGAATGAAAACATATTATTTAGGATTATAACAGCCATTTCATATGATACAAGACAAAAACAGATTTTCATTTGTTAATGAAAAAAAAAAAAACACTTTAAAAAGTCTTTCTCATACAGCTCTTTTCTTAGGACAATACAGTTTTTTGTTTTGTTTTGTTTTTTAAATCTCACACATAAAGAATACATTCATATTTCTAAAATATTGTTTTGTTTTGTTTCATTTTGTTTTTAATAATGGAAAATATACTTACTTTAACATTTGCTGCTGGGCAAGGACATATTCTGAACAACCACTTCGATACAGAAGTTGAGTGTTAGCTTGAACCCAGACCCAGTGATCTTCATTTGCTTGTACTTTGACTAGAGAAATGCCATTTTCTCCATTATTCTTTGCTATACAATTTAAAAGAAAGTATTTTTTAACACAAACAGTTTTAAATATCTTTTCTTACCTTATTTTATTTTATTTTATTTTATTTTATTTTATTTTATTTATTTTATTTTATTTTATTTCATTTCATTTCATTTCATTTCATTTCATTTCATTTCATTTTTTTAGCTGATGAATGCTCACAGGTTTGTTTGCTTCCCTGGAATCATCAGCAGAGGAGAGTACAGGCTAAAATATGTCACAGAATTAGGCAAACTACACAACGGATTAAATTTGAAAAACTGAATGTGGCAATTAGAAGCTCGTAAACCGTAACCAAAGATTTTTCAGTATTTTTACTTCATTGTCATTTTTCCCTCTCAGCTGTATTACTATAACAATAAGAAAACTTTCATGAAAAATGGGGCTAAGACAGAGGAATGGTTTTAAAGAAGTTAAAGTTTTCTAGCAGGTACAAAGGCTGAGTACAACTCTGGTCAAGAAGAATCTGCCCCTTGGAAAAGACTCACCATCAGAATTTTATCCATTGCACAAATCCAAAACACTGCATAGACACTCATGGAATTGTCACATTCAAACACTGGAAACGTATTAGTCAAAGCCGCAAGCAAATTGTGAATTTTATAGACAATATATTTTAATTTTCCTTCTGTTTTCTGATCTTTGAGGGAAGTAGCATTTGTAATATATTTTTCATTTTTCCTCAAATAAGGATAGATCCAATCATTATTAAGGTTTTCATACAATATTGTTAATTTCAATGCTGCCATTTTTAGGAAAGTGGACTTCTTATTTACTGTTCTTATTGTTATTATATGTGTAATCTTGGCATCACAGTATCATAGTATTTATGCCCAATGAAATAACAGATTGATTCAATACTGACTTCTGAGGTGGCTAATTATTCATTTTTTTACAGAAGTTGTATATGAGAGAAGCCCTTTCTCTCGTATACGGAAAACCTAACAGATGAAAAGAAAAAGCAAGGCTTTTTCTCCACAAATTGTATATAATCTAGAATTACTTAGCAGCAATTACTTACCTTTGAGTTGGTTTTCGGCAATCTGTAAAACATTATTGAAAGATGCACCTTCATGATGACTATTTCTTCCATATAATTCTGCTGCTTCACACAGAACTGAATTACCTTTAGAACTGGAGCTGTAGGGAACAGAAAATGTGGAAAATTCCTCATCAGTGAATGACAAAAAAAGCAAAATTACAAACTATGAAAGATGTGATCTGCAAGCTGTTGACCATTCGCAAAGACTGATGGTTTAAACATATAGTAACCAATGCAAAATAATTATAAATATCTCCTGCATCATATGGTTGCTCAAACTGGAATATGACTGGAATTCTGCATTCAATTAAAAGGAATAGTTATGTTTAGTAATATTCTGCTCGCAATTTACTGTATCTGGAATAATAAGTTTCAGCTTGAATTGAGACAGATGCTTTGTACATTTTGCTCTGCCTGTCATTCAAGGTACTTGCATCTCACTCACCAGCAATGCACTTAAGAGTTACCATGACTTCAATTTCCAATAATCATCATATGATTTTAATGGATTTCTTCCAATCTGTACTTCAAAATGCATATCAGGTTTTGTAAAGGCTACAAATCCTATAACATTTCTTTCCAAATTTTTCCCTTCATTAAGACGATGAGACTATAATTGTCTATATAAATTTGCCCACCATCCTTGGCCATCATGTTTAAAGACCAAACCAAATGAAACCCTGATGTTTCCATGTTTTTTACATAAATTGAATCATAATATAGATAAAATGAAATAGTAAATACATGAAGCACACTTAATTCCTGTCAAATCCTTGGCCACTGCCCAGTCAGTTAGTAAAATTCAAGTAAAGTGCCTCTCTCCTAGGAGCTGAATTTTGGTCTTCAATTAATTTCACCTGGACCGCTGAAAACCCAGCAAATGGAAATGACTTTAAAACTCTGATCCAAAGCCTACACATTCCATTATATCGGCTTTCCAGTAATTTAATTCTCGTCACAAGGATGTACGTGCTAGAACCACATTACACATCTGGATAGTAAATCCACACATACATAAGCATATTCTAACTAAAAGCCAAATTATGATACTCTGAGTCACACTGATGAGCGTTTCACTTCACAGTGATGGACCTCATTGTTATAAGGTCATATTTAACCAAATAACGGAAAACATAATCCTAGCCCCAAACATCAACTAAAATTCAATCAAGGAAGAATAACGAAAATAAGTGTTAGGCAGGAAATGAGTCTGAACACAATCTGTCCTGATCTTCTTTGATAGCTGCCATGTGATCAGCCCTAGGCCATTTAGTGCAATTGTAGACTTATGTATTCATAAGCCTTCTGTTATAAGATAAATACATAAACCAAATACATCCCATTTGACTCTCTTTGAACCCTCCCACAAGCCCACATTCAATTTTCTAACATTTTCTTTTTCCTTTGTTGGTTACCAAAATGGCCAAGTCCAAATAATTGTGCTAGTGGAAGATATGTAAATTTGAGAATTCTCGGTACAAACATGCTCGCTTTTCTACTTCTACAACTAGTAGAATGAATTTTTCCTTTGGTAACTTCTGAAGATTAGGAAGGAGAATCCAGATAAATTATTTACTTTCTAAGAAAGGATTTTAAAATGAAGAGTTATTCAGCATCATTTTTACTTTTTACTTGCTCAATAAACATAAAGCCCGTAGCATACTTTACTACATGATACAAGATTAATTTGAAAATACTTTGCATTCACTGCTGCTGCTTCATCAGCTTTGTGTTTTGCTTTCACAAGCAGGCTTTTCATCTTCATCTCTGTCATAGAAGGGAGAAGAAGTGGTACCACTATGCAGAATAAGGACAGCTGAGGTGGTAATACTGTTCCTGATGAGGACTTCTTCCTTTGTCCAAAAAGAAACTTTAGTTTGCCTTGAAACTGCATTGTCTGTTATAAAATAAAATTAAAAAAATAAAAAGTTATCTTGAGCATTCCATGTATAAACATTTAAAATGCTAATACATGCTATGCCCCCTGTTGTTTAAGTAACACCAAACCCAGTTTTGAAAGAGGAAGAAAGGAAAAAAAAAAAAAAAGAAAGAAATTTTATTATCTTCATACAGTTTAAATCATGCAATTTCAGAGGCATGGTGAGTGACAGTACCATCAACAGTAAAATGAGACATTTGAAGCTGTTGGTTTTTTTTGTTTCCAGTGTGCTTAAAGCAGAAGTTCTGCATTATGTTCTGTTTGCCAAGACTGGCAGCTTATGATGGTGCAAACAGCTATTTCCTGCATGCCTCACACTGAAGCTGGAACTATATTTTTTCCAGGCTCTGTTCAGACCCATAATCTTCCTGCAAAGGAGCATCTGAGACAGAGATTGCATTTTTCTATCTCTTGCTATTCCTCTCATTTTCTTTGCACATCTGTCTTTGCCATAAGAAGAAACAAGATTGGTCTTTACTAAGGAAATGGGGAAGTCATTTCTAGAAATGAGCCACCTCTAGTAAGAATTTTAAGGAGCATTTAAAAGACTTCTAGTCACTGGTATTGTTGTTATTATTATTATTATTATAGAACCCTTTACAAAAGTGAAAAAGCAATAATTACTACTCTTGTTCCTTAAAGTGAATCCTTTGTGCATAAATGCTAATTACACAGAACCACAGAATGGCTGAGGTTGGAAGGGACCTCTGGAGATCACCAAGTCCAACCTCCCTGCCCATCAGTCAGGGTCCCCCAGGATTGTGTCCAGACGATTTTTGAATAGCCTTCCAGAGAAGGAGACTCCGCAACCTCTCTGGGCAACCTGTTCCTGTGCTCAGTCACCCTCACAGTAAGACATGTTTCCTCATGTTCAGACAGGTCTTCCTGCATTGCAGTTTGTGCTCATTGACACTCATTCTGTCACTACGCACCACAGAGAAGAGCCTGGCCCCATCCTCCTGACACTCTCCCTTCAGAAACATACAGCCATTCATCAGATCCCCCCAATCCTTCTCTTCCCTTCTCCAGACTGAACAGGCCCAGCTCCCACAGCCATTCCTCATAAGGGAGATGCTCCAGTCCCTTCATCATCTTATCATCCCTGCACTGGACCTGCTCCAGGAGCCCCGTGTCTCATTTGTACTGGGGAGCCCAGAACTGGGCATGGCCCTCCAGGTGAGGCCTCACCAGGGCTGAGTAGAGGGGAGTATCACCCCCCTGACCTGACAGCAATGTTCTCCCAAAGGTGCCCCAGGATACCACTGGCCTTCTTGGCCACAAGGGCACATTGCTGGCTCATGGTTAACTTGTTGTCCACCAGGACCCCCAGGTCCTTCTCTGCAGAGCTGCTTTCCAGCATGTCAGCCCCCAGCTTCTACTGCTACATGAGGTTGCTCCTCTCCAGGTGCAGGACCCTGCACTTGCCTTTGCAGAATTTCAAGAGCTTCCTCTCTGCCCATCTCTCCAACCTGTTGAGATCCTTCTGAATGGCAGCACAGTCCTTCCAGATTTGTATCATCAGCAAACTTGGTGCACTCTATCCCTTCATCCAAGTCACTGATGGGTAAGTTAAATGTTACTGGGGACCCAGTATTAACCCCAAAGGCCACCACTAGCTACAGGTCTCCAACTAGACTGTGCCACTGATCACAACTCTCTAAGACCTGCCATTCAGCCAGTTCTCAATCCACCTCACCATCCACTCATCCAGCCTTCACTTTTGCAGCTTGTCCATGAGGATATTACTCATGTTTGACATTGTCAAAAGCCTTGATGAAGCCTAGGTAGACAACACCCAATGCTCTCTCCTCATCCATCCAGCCAGTTGTCTCGTCATAGAAGGCAATCAGGTTGGTTAAGCTTGAGTTACCTTTGGTGGATCCACGCTGACTCCTCCTGATAGTCAACTTCTCTTCTTCTACATGCTTAGAGATGGCCTCCAGGAGGAGCTGTTCCACCTCCTTTCCCAGGGGTTGGGGTGAGGCTGACTGGCCTGTAGTTCCCTGGAACCTCCTTCTTTCCCTTTTTGAAGACTGGGGTGATGTTTGCTTTCTTCCAGCCTCAGGCACCTCTCCTGATTGCCATGACCTTTCAAAGCTGGTCAAAAGTGGCCTACCGATGATGTCTGCCAGTTCCCTCAGTATTCATCAGTGCATTCATCAGGGCCCATGAAGTTGTGGATATCAGGTTTGCCTAAATGATCTCTAACCCAATCCTCATCAACCAAGGGAAAGTCTTCCTTTCTCCAGACTTCCTCCCTGGTCTCCTGGGTCCAAGATTCTTGAAGCCTGGACTTGGTAATGAAGACTGAAGCAAAGGAGGCATTCAGTATCTCTGCCTTCTCTGCATTCTCGGTCGCCAGGGTCCCTGCCCCCATTCAATAGTGAGTTCACATTTTCCCTCTTTTCTTATTGATGTATTTGAAGAAGCCATTCTTGTTGTCCTTAACATCCCTAGCCAGACTTAATATCAAATGGTTCTTGGCCTTCCTCATCACATTTCTGCATACTCTGAAAATGTCCCTACATACATCCCAAAGGGCCTGTCCCTTATTCACCTCCTGTACACCTCCTGCTTTTGTTTGAGTTGAAATGGCTGAATGGTTGAATGGTTGAATGGTCGAATGGTTGAATGGTTGAAACTTAGACTTGCCGCTCTTGTTCTAGGGCCAGTGCAAATGGAGACAGATATTGTCCGAAAGTACTTAAAACAAAAGTTTATCAATTCTTTCAACTTGAAATATTTCAGCCTCCTTTTCTTCCATCAATCTTTATAAGCATTAATAAATGATTTTAGGTATTTCTTCTTTGAGTACAGCAAATGAAAAGTGTATCCTATCCATGACTGTCTGCAATAAATCTATTAATGTTCCAACATTTTTCGTATGAATTAATATAATCTAGTACTCATAATTGCAGTTGTCTAAGTGAAATTATACTTACAAGGAAGCCAGAAGTACTGTCCAACAAGCAGCGAACTCGACAGATGAAACAACGAGTTAAGAAGGAAGAATAATCTGTTGTCGTGCTGTCATTCTCTTGTGCTTTAAACAATTTACTGAGAATATATTCTTCTCCTATAAACAACAGTGGAGGCAATATATATCAGATCACACTAAGAAATATGATGTTCTGTACCTACTTGAAGAAACTGTTATGGAAATTGCTAAATATTGTTTTATGGAATAGCGAATATTTAACTGTGTCATGCATAGACACATCTGCACATGCTCTGCCAAAAGAAAAAAAAGGTTCTACAGTGGGATTCAGGTAAGTTTCTTTAGAAGCTTTGAATTCTGTATTTCGTGAGGTTTTGTGTTTTTAAGGATGCAAAGTAGGGTAACAGATGCTACTATTTTTGAGATCAGAGATTGGAGACAGTACATTAGGAAAAGGAACAAAATCAGGAAAAATGCTAATGCAAGAAAAAGAATGAGCAGTGGCTAATTAGCTAACATTCAGCTGTTGCCTCTTCAATTTTTAATGAAGTATTGCCAGTTTTGGACTACAGGTGCATAGCTTTTGAAACACTTATTTCCCAAAAGACACACACAAGTATTTGCACAGAAATATGAACTCAGGAATTGAAATTCTTCACTGTATATACTTAGGACAAAAAATCCAAATGTTTGTAACTATTTATAGCTTGAAATCTTCATGTACATTGTTTCATTTGTTTTCTGCATAATTTCTATAACATTCTGTGAAGTTCTTGAAAAGCAAACATTCTACCAAACTTTGGAATTCTACCAAAGTTACATGACTCTGTTCTTAACAACTTCATAAAGGCTGCTGAAGGACTTCTTGGAAGTTTCTCCCCACCCCCCACCTACCACCCTCTTGAAAATAGATTATTTCATTTTCTGCTCATAAAATGCATACATTTTGCTGCGATCAGTTCTGTATAAAGTTAACAATTTCAACCCCATTGTATTTTTTTTGTAGTCATGATTTCAGCTTTAGCTGAAATCCTCAGGTAGGAGACACCTTGAGCATACCTGTCCTCTTCCCATCCTAGGGAAATACAGCTTCAGAGCTAAAAATGTATTCCTAAACCTACATGTTCTTCTGAAGACTCCTATCCACATAACTTTACATGGGAAAACAAGTTGCAGAAAATTATGTCACCACTGTGGTACTGCACGGAAAAATTTTGCATTTGTTTTCCTCATTAATGAGATAAAATACTAATGTCTTGATCAGTGTGAAGAAAAGATTAGTAAAGATTGGTAGGATGAAAACTTACATTGTTCATTCTGCATGGATAAGAATATCCGTAAGTATATTAGTCAGAGAAAAATAAAAGAAACATCAATATTCTAGCCTCAATAGCACACACTACCTTATAAATATCCCAGATCAGGAAGAAACATCATCTATGAAACATTAATATAATAAATGGCCAGAATTTAGCTTTCCAGTGAAGAATCTGACTTGAAGAACAAACATGGTTGTAGGTAGAGGGCTATTCTAATTCGGCAGTGATGCCTACGTTTCTAAACACTATATAATCCTACCTGTTTCTGTCTGTGTTTGCTGTCCAGACAACATCTGGGGAGGATTCATGGCCCAGTGCAGTTGTCTACAGAAGTCCTGACGATCATCCACATGAATGTAATCATATATGTTTTGGTGCATTACATCAGTCTGAAAAAATGATAACAAACAATGTTTAATCTGTAGTCTTAGCAGGGCAGGCTCTTATCTTGAGAACTATAGAATCACAGAATGGTTTGGGTTGGAAGGGACCTTAAGACCATACAGTTCCAACCCCCCTGCCATGGGCAGGGACACCTCCCACCAGACCAATTGCCCAAAGCCCCATCCGACTTGGTCTTGAACACCTCCAGGGATAGGGCACCTGCAGCATCTCTGGGCAACCTGTCCCAGTGCTTCACCACCCTCTGAGTAAAGAATTTGGGATGACACTTTCCTTAAAATAATGGCTGGTGTAGGATACCTTCAGAGCACAGTCTGATTGAGGAAAGCCCCTGTTTCTCAAACCAGCTTTTTGACTTAATATCCTAAGTGATTATTTTTGTTAACTCTTTTAAACACATTGCAAATGTGAGCCATAAAAGTCCAACTGGCGGACAGTTGCTGGTAGCATCCCTCAGGGACTGATCCTGGGCCCAGCTTTGTGTAATTTCTTGACAAATGGATGATGGGGTAGAGTGCACTCTCAAAAGGTTTGCAGAGGAAATCAATTGGAGAGAGTTGGACTGCTATTTAGAGAGACCTTGACAAGCTGTAAAAAGGGCTGATAGGAACCTCAGGAAGTTCATCAGAGGCAAAACCCTCTCTAATTTTGGGCTTTCCAGGAAAAGAAAGATATTAACATACTAAAGTGAGTCCAGGAGAGCAGTACCAAGGGCTGGAGCATGTGACATTATCAAGTGAGGAGAGAAGAATGGGGTTTGTTCAGCCTTAAGAAGAGAAAGCTTCAGAAAGAGCTTACTGCTGTCTATATCTACCAAAGTAGAGGGTGTAGAAGAGATCAAGCCAGACTCTTATCAGACAGACAATGTGGAAAGACAAGAAGCAGCAGGCACAAGTTGTAAACGTGGAAACTGGGGCTGGATACAACTGAAAAAAAATACAGTCAGGGTGGTAAAACACTGGAACAGCTCTTCCAGGAGTTGTAGAACCACAAAACTTAACTAGATGAATACATGAGCAACTTGCTCTGAGCAGGAGGTTGGACTATATGACCTCCAGAGGTCCCTTCCAACTACATGGTTATGTTATTCTGTGACTTAATAATATATTTACTCTATGCAGGACACTGGTCTAGAATAGCAGTACCTTGTACTAAAATTGAAAACAAACATTTAGACACATCTTAATTTTATAGTAGATCATGTTTCTGTTAAAAAAAGCTTTTCAAAAGGAAACTCTCTTGCAACAATACAAGGAATTCATCTCCATCCGTCATATCACAATAAATAAATAAATAAAGTCTAAAATGGCATAGTAAAATAATTTCAGCAATAATGCACGTCCAATCAGCAGTAGAAGAATAGGGCAAAACAACATGCTGATTTGCATTTTAGAAAGCCATTTAGCAGGAAAGACTGCAAGAAAGTCGTTAGAAAGTCAGTATAATATTAAGCAGTCTAAATATTTACTAATATATTTACCTGATGAAACCCTAGGTAGTCCACAATTGTTGATGATGCATAAAATATCATTCCATCTGCACTCACCACCAGTGCAAAACCATTCAGTGACTAAAAAAGGGGAAATAAAGTTAATAAAATGATCATCAGAAAGTGAAGAGCAAAATGGGTATGAAATATAATAAATTCAAGAATGTTCAAGTCTGGTCTCCTCTAGATTTCAAATATGAGTTTACGGTCTTTGGAGTTATAGAATATACAGAATATTACCTATAGAATATTACCTTTTAAATACCAAAGAGAAAGAAAAAACAAAGAAATACAGCATAAACGTAGCCTTTTTTTTTTTTTTTTTTAATTCAGAGAAACATTTCTGTGATTTAGTTGGTAGAAATGTTTTCAACTTCATGTGTTTTGTCTGAAATGCATGGCCAGACCAGATTGTGCCAAAGGTCCAGCCATTCCCAGCATCCTGTCTCCAGTAGTGAATCTCCAGGGAAGAGTGCACGAACAAGACAAGCATGTGCTGTTATTTTCCTAGAACAGTCTTCCCACCACCCACAACTCAAGTGTTTCCCTTGTCTTCAATAATTTTTTTTAATAACCCTTTTAATATCCCCTTCATAGCCCTAACTATTTTAATAAACCTTGACAATTGCATTTTGAAACCATATTAAAGTTTTTAATATCCCCAAGCTGTTGCACCACCGGTCCACAGATTAGTTTCAGGTAGAAGAACCTGAAAGTGAATAACTACTTCTTTTTGTTTCTTTGAGCCTGCTACTTACTACTGTTGTTTGACACCATCTAGCTGTCTTATAGGAAGGGGCAGTGAACAATTCTATCCCTTTCACCTTTTTCTGTGTGGAGTAGATATGAAAAAATCTCTCCGCAAAGACGTTGGACACCACGTTTTTCTGGAGGCTGATTAAGATTTTGCATACATTTAGTAAAATAATGGACTTTGGTCATAAGTTTAACAGTTATGTGTTATATGTTGATTCACATTTTCAAGCTTTTATCATGTGTGATATCAGTTTTCAGTGTTCTATCTGAATTGCCATTCAGGTAAATAGAATCCAATTTGGGGTCTTTGGGATTCTAAGCCTATAAATATCACCTTTAAAATACAAAAGACAAAGAAAAAATAAATACAGATTTTTTTTTTTAATTCATAGTAAAATTGCTGTGATTTAGATGGTAGAATTGTTTTGAATTTCATGTGTGTTTTGCCTGAAACATCTTCTCATTTTAAAAGTCTCATTATATGACAAGCAATGTTCTAATCCAGTGTGTCTTGTACTACAATTGTAACCTAATAAGATACTTACTGAATACATTGCTATTCCTAATATGAATATATGGAAGCATCAAAATGTTTGGTTCCTTACAAACATTCTTGTAGTTTCCAATACCATTGCAGAAAGACCTCTTTTTCCTAACACGAAATAATGAATAACAATCTGGAACATGTTTCCAAAAAACGTTAGAGCAGCTAATTACAAGGTAACTACAATATTATGTTATGATATCATTATCTATTTTAAATTTAAATTGGCATTAATTCACATAATTAAAATTTAATAACAACCATCTACTACTTTTTTGCTGCTTTTAATTTAAAACATTCCATTCCAGGACAATTGCTTTGAATTTCTGTGCATTGAAACATACAGATAATATAATAATCTCCAACAAGAAAATGAAATACATGTGCTCTTGTAGTTATGGCTTTAAAATTGGATGTTTGTTTTGAAGTATGGTAGTTTTCTTAAGCTTCTATAAAAACACATACATAGCAAAATTGCATAAATACAATTAATATAAAAATTATTCAATAAATATTTCATTGATAAAGACCAATGTTTAATTGAAAAAAAGCTGGATTCATTCTCACAGACTCAGTGGCGCAAAAAAGTAATGAGAAAAATCTAAAATTAAAGGTAAGGATTAAATCAGATACGTGACACGAACATTACCATCCATCACACTGCACGCAGCCTGACTAATTTTGCCTCTCCTCCCTTGATAAAGATTCAGTGACATGTCTTGACTCCATCAGGCTCGCATTCCAAGGTAGTTTAGATGATCCTTTCACATGATGGTTTTGAGGTCTTTTGAGATTATAGTTCAAACAGATGCTGAAGAAGCACTGCTCTATCATAATTATCCTTACTTCACCTTTCCCTGAATTTACAGTTGCCGCGACGTGTATATTAATCCTGAAGCACAATGGGGGCAGATTTTCTATTGCTCAGTAACCAGATACACTGACATGTTTTTTGAGAGCTTGGTTCTCTTTTTGGTTCCTAAATAAGGACCAGATTTCCAAGACTGCTTAAAGCCTGTTCCCACTGTGACAATGGTGGGCAGAATTTCAAGAGTTCAGCATACAATAGGCCGACCTCCTCAGAAGATTTGGCTCCGGTCATAAATGTGGAGCACCTTTGGAAACTTGGCCCAATGGGGCCACATGTGGCCAGGAGCTCTGGGTCTTGAAGAAGCTGTGAAATGGTGACTGCAAAAAATCCAGTAGTGAGACTGCAAAGGCTTACCTACGTTTGGAAAGAGCAGTAAGAGCAGCTGTTTTGATCAAATCAATACCGACCATGAGTCAGCTGTAAGAACAGCCAAGGGCAAACCATGCTTATCTCCAGATCAGCTCCATCAATACCAATCCTTTTCAGGATAAGCGTTATCTCTGGCTAGGTTGGATTAGTGTTGTTTACAAGTTATCCATGTCTACTACTGAACCACAAGCTCTTGCTGGGTTGGTGCTATTTTCTGCTATTAAAAAAAAAAAAAAAAAAAGCCCAAATCCATTCCAGTACCTCACCCAACAGAAGACAACATGCCACAATTTCTACATCTTCACATCTGTGCCTTTCACTTCACTGAGAGGAGCCTCTGAAGACAGTATCTTTCATATCCATTTCCAATATCAAGTGGAGACAAGAAAGCATTTTTGGCATCTTGTCTCTTTGGGCTCATCTTCACAGCAATGAAACCATCAGTGATGTGATGTTAGGAATTTTATTACAATTTGAACATCTGGCAGGCCTTTTAATTTGGGCAGACTAAAAAATTTCCACAAAGATAACCATAGGACAGTCAAGGGAGCTCCTTTGTGTGGATGCCTGTGGCTGTTATCGTGCACTTTCTAAAAGATCTCCAGTTCAATCCATAGAGCCAGGGCATCTAGAAACTATGAACATGTACCATATATAGATATATGTAGCCTAAGAGATCAGTCTCTTCTTTAAAAAATAAAATTGTTACCCCTCAGTGAGACAAAGGTTCTTCTTTGCATAAGTTTTTCTTTCATGGAGCCCAAGTTGGGCTGGACAAGGTGCAGTGGTTTGTAAAAATGGGAAGGAGAACTGGGATCATGCTTATTTCTAAGGGTTCACAGCAGTGGACTGGCAACTACGTCTCTGAGGTTGGAGGAGGTACTAAGGAAAGGTGGGAAGGAGCAAAAGTAAAGAAGTGGAAGTGAAGTTCAAGGAGCCACGTGTTGAAGCTAAGCCACAAACAAGTATGGATTCGAGGAAGGTATGTAAATGAAGAGAATTACAAAGTTTCCCCTCTTTGTTTTTGTTTTGTTCCCAAAATGCTTATGTCCTTTTCTGAGTTAAGATCTCTTAACTACGCATCGCCTGGTTTTCATGACCCCAAACACAGACATCAGATGCTCTGCCTCGCAGGCAGGAAAAGCATAACCCACTGTGGTGCAACAACAACTTTTATGGAGCCGCATGAAGCCATTGAGGATTAACACAAATTCCATGTGTCTAAATCTCGTTTTAGCTGAGAAACCTGCTGCTTCAACCGCACTGAAAAGAGACAAGCTGGACATGGAGTAGAACTTCTTATCCACTGAGCCGTACCCATGACTGCAATTTTTTTCTCTTTTCTCAGAATTACCTTGAAGTGCTGTTTGGTGTGAAGTCTGACATCTGTAGCACAGACAAATTGGAACAGAACCAAGAGCTGGGCTGAGATTTATACTTTTCTTACCTAGTGACCACAGCTGGGGAAAAGGTGGAGAGCATTTGCTAGCACAGGTCTGGTACCCCAGACATGGGTAGTACTGATAGCAAATTAGTAGGAAAAGACCTCTTCTGACCTCTCAAATAAATATCTCAGGTATCATACCAAACCTCATGTCCAAGCCCTTTAAAGGAACACCACATGGTGATTTTGCATTATTCTGGCCAGAATGCTGATAATTTGTTACACCTAATGGAAGAGAGAGGCAGCTTCAATCCCTGAGAATGAACAAAAACTATTCACAGCTTTATGGGTATAAATTATAAGGTCTCATATTTAGCAGGACAACAACACATATGGCTCCATTTATGATTTTTAACATTTTCAGTTTCTGAACTAAAAATTCCAGGCCTCAGTGACAGCTTTCTCTCTTTCCTAGTGCATGGGAGACTGCACTGGGGTGCTGTATCAGAAGTGCAGCAAGAATCTTCATGGATTATCAATAACCTGGGAGGAGGAAAAGGGACAGAAAGAGGACATGGACCAGCCTCACACCAGTGCAGCTCATGTTGCCTGTTGCACAATGACCTGGCCAGATAGCCAGAAGCCTCCTAAAGCTCTGCAAAGGGCATGTGCCTGCCCAAAACACAGGAAGGTCAAGAGCAGCTCTTCTCAGTTTATTCCTTTGAGCAGAAATAATGGAAAGCATAAAATAGGGCTCGTGGATTTAGGGGAGGAAATAACCTAACTCCGTAGCTCAACACCAACATTTTTTCCATGATGTGTTTCAATCAACAAAGTCCACTCACATCCTACTACAATTTTTAGCCATTTGCATGTACTTCCACGCACACCCATGCGCACAGGGATGCACCCACGCACACAAACACAGGCACACAAAGACGTTAGCGTGGACACTGAAACCAACTAACTTCTAATCTGCAAAAATACATGGTTGTAAATTGCCATTTGGTAAACCATATGGATTCAATGACAGATGGAATTTCTAATCCAGGATAATAGCTGAAAGATGTGAGACAGACTTAAATATGTATTGTGAACATTTGTTTGTTTGTATTTGGCTTTTTAAAAAACACTTACACGGGTTTTTTACATTGTAC